TGGTAGCGGGGCATCGTGTGGTTGAACGGGCTGCCGGGACTCGTTAAACCTGCCGTGCGCCTGAACGTGAACGCGGGGGCGGCTCTCGATTGCACCTTATCGCGTTCAATCTCGTGACCGTGATGCCAAGAATTCGCCGCTGCCATTCCGCGATCACCACTCACCACGTATCGCCGTTCCCTTTCCTCCTTCCCTTTCTCCGCTTCTTGGGAGGGAGTCTGCGTAGGTCTGCGTCGCATTGCATTGACCCAGTTTTTCGGCTTACAAACAACGATCCGGTGTGAACGGTGCATTTGGTTTTAAGCTTACTTTAGAACCGCTCGGTGGTTGGCCAGCGCCTTGTTTTCTTGCTTGGTGAAATGACGAAACATTCCAAGAAATTTGCGTGGAAAAAATTTTTGTCGTACCCCCTCTTCATTTTGTTTTCGTTGCTTTTATAGTCGAAGCGCGACCCGAGATGGAACACTCACTGCATGTCACTTTGGAAGCGAGTGACTGTTTTTTGTTTTTTTTCCAGACGTAATAAAAAGTTTTATTACAGAGATAATGCCCTCGCTCTTATCTGGCTGCCTGCCCTAGCGGTATCCGTCGTGGCGACTGTTCTAGAAGCTTCGTTTTCGATATAGTTGAGTAGATACAAAACTGTTGACTGCTTATTGTAATCGCCACTGCTGTGGCCGGGCAGGTTGGTTGAGGAGTGCTTGACATCAGATTCCCTTGATTAACCTTTTTCTTCAAGAAACAACTCTGGCATGCTTGACGAAATAGTGAGTCCCGAGACGACCTACGTCACAATTGCCTCGGATGTTACGTGCTCGAAGCTGGGCCTTCTCTGAGCGCTTGCTAGAGTGGGCCGTTTATTAAAAAAATACAGCCACCAGGCTCAAAATACAAATGTGCGATTGTCATTTAGGGATATTGTGGATCATATTCGACCTATTTTTGAACACGACGGATATATTTAAAATTTTGTTGAAGTATCCCTTTAAAATTTGTTGCCCATGGTGCAAATCAGTAGCTTTTGAGCCGGTTCTTGTGGCCTTTGGCAATCACTCGCTTATCATTGGTGAGAATTTTGTAGGCGACAACAAACAGAATTCGGACTTGCTTATCTTCGACACCTTGGAACTCGAGTCCAGGAATACAGAATTTAATGCTGCTACCTACTCGGCGTTTCCAAAATGTTTCTTTACTTGAAGTTTGCTGGGCTGTAGATTTGCTCTCGCTGCTTGGATTGTTTCGTGTCAGTCGTCATCCTAGCTGCCGTTTTGGGTGATTGGCTGAGTGTGGTAATAGATTCTTAATCGTGGCGACTGTGACATACTGTTAGTGTATACCAACGTTACTAGAACCACTTAGTTGAAAAACTGCCGTACAGACTGCTCTGAAAAAGTGTCCTCGCGCACCGAGCTAATGGCGAACACAACGCCGCCATTTCTCCCGCAGCGGCCACTCGAGGAACTGCGCATAACGTCTATTTTGGCTTTAATCGGCCATTTTGGCACCGAAACAGATACAGCAGAAGAGGTTACAGGGGTGCCACCCCCGTCTCCCCAGCGGATGCGCCGCGTCTTACTACCGAAGTTAATATGCACCTAGGTCGGGACGCGCTACCTGAAAGCACCGCTGAGGCATGGTTGTATAAAGACAATATTAATTGTGCCGCAAAACCTTGCAAACAAAGATTTTAAAAACATCATGCACCCTTCATTCTGTACTAAACTCCAATAAATTTCATTGAAAAAGTCTTTTCAGTTTGTTTTTATGCAAACGCGTGCTTTCTAAAAGCTCAAGGTGACCACAGTACAAACAGATGATAAAGAGTGGCGCTCTTATCGTATTTAGCTCGGTCTCTGTGGAGGCCAGCGGCCCAGGTTTCGACCGCGAGTTTCCCAACTGAGTGTTTTAGTAATTTTGGTGTATACTCTACCCAAGCTCAAAGTCCTGGTCAACCAGGGCCCGTTTGCTCTAATACCCTTGTTACACGGGCACACTTAACTGCAGTTACGCTAAACCACGATTAGCGCACAATACTTGCCGACAACATTCTGCGGCGATGCAGTCAGAGCTATGGGCGAACGTGTGCTTGAGCATCTTGAGCACCCATCAAAGCAGTGCAGCGCTCTCTTCACTTCTTTTGAAATAGCTTTCCGAGGGTATAGTGCGGTATCTGTGCTGCCACGTAACCGCAGTTAAAGCTGAGTTAACCGCGGTTAAGTGTGCCCGTGTAACAGGGGTATAAGCTGGTTAACTCTAACCGCGGTTAAGTTAACCGCCCATCCCTACTAGTTACCTACAAGTACCTAGCCCAGTTTGACGAGGGCTGGATGAGCGATAGCTCCATGTTTTATTATGGGGTGGTAGCTGGTGTCACCTACTGGCTGTAGCGAATATACGTGACTTCCGTGGAAAGGTTCCCGAAATGGGGGGACCCAAAAATGCGCGCTGCCTGGTTTTCGCGACGCAGAGCGGCATACATTTGAGCTTCAGCAACAATTTTTATTGCTCGTGGTACGAATAATCGGCAAGGTAAAACTAAATTAACCCTCATTTGGAAATTTTCTAAATATTTGGCTGTATGAAGTGAAGAAAAGTCTCGTTGAAATTTCCTTCAGAGTTCGAAAGAGGACGACGAAGTTGAGTCCTAGGAACGATGAGAAAGAAGTGAGCAGTGAAAGGCGGGCAGTACACCGGCAGCATGGTTGGCCAGCATGTAAGAACTGTGTATAACACTGTCATAAATTAAAAATCTTGTAACTCTGCTCCACTGAAAATTGACCTTTTAGTAAATTACCCGAACATAGGGCGCCCACCTTCCTGCCGGTGGAATGCGGGACACCCTGATCGGGGGGGGGGGGGGGAGGGAGGGAGGGAGGGAGGGAGGGAGGGAGGGAGGGAGGGAGGGAGGGAGGAGGGAGGAAGGAAGGAAGGAAGGAGGGGAGGGGAGGGGAGTACTTATTCCTATATTAACATGCTCCTACACAAAAATAAAACCTTATGTTGTTTTTTTGACCGTTGTGAGTTGCAGGTTTTCTGCCTTGTGTGGCTGTCTTCAATAAAAAAAAAAGCTTTCCACAACAACCCTTTCGCATGATACAGTATGATTTGCAACTAATTACAATAGTTTATTTTTCACCTTTTGGCAAGCAATTTTCGCTTGCAATATTTTGCCATCGAGGGGAGAGGTACAACGGCGCATGTGCGTCATTCTCCTGCAAGAACGACGGTTGCTTAGCGCAGTGCTAGGCAAGAAAATGACATACCATCGAGATTCACACATTTATCAGCGACCTCCGCGGTTCCCCGTTGCCCGTTGTTCGGAAGCGCCATAATTTGCGCAGTGAATGTTACGACAATGCGAAATGCGGGACATTTGGAAGATTTTGGAATTTCTTGCGGGACACGAGCCCTCAATTTCTTGCAGTTGCGGGACGGGTGGTCACCCTACCCGAACATCGAGAAGGCCGCTGAAAGCGTAGTTCTTTGATCCGCGCGCGCTGGCCTTCCACTTATTTGTTTTTGCGTTTTGTTTTAGGCTTTTTGCTTCAGAACAGTTATTAATGCAGACGCCAGCAGGTGCAGCGCATGTAACTACGCCCGTAGCATGCACCTCGGTGCTTTTGAAATTTCGCAAAAGGTCTATGGGAATGCTGTCTGCTTTTGTGTGCTATCAATACCCGGCCGATTGAGTCAAGGCAATCCACTTTCCAAAGACGTTGCCATGCCAACAGTTGTCACGTTCATTTAGGCTTAGGAATGGACAGAGTCGAAAGTCTATCTAAAAAATGCAGCGAGGTCATTGTTTCTTGCTTTGTGTTTTAAGTGAGGTAAGGCAACGCGAAAACCTCCTGCACCATTCATTGCCGACTAACGCGCCCACTACTGCAGCTACTACGACGTATTAGTTTCAAAGCGAGCGGCTCTCGCTCACCGGGGCACCGCCATGTTTCCCTGCCGTTTTTACTTTGCCGGTCAGGTGACCCGAAATTCCCCCTCGTAGGAAAATCCAGTTAACCGCGGTTAGTTAACCAGCTTCGAGCGAACGGGCCCAGGGGCATTACAAGTGTTAGAAGATTGGAGGAGGTTTGATATCCCCTTCCATACCCTGAAATATTTAAAACATCTGGGGAAGCATAGCTAAGCCTTTGGAGACCAACATTCCAAAATAACCTTACTGCCTGCAATAAAAAAAAAAATTGGTAGATTTGTTAGTTTTTAGAATTCCCTTAACTAAATTTAGGTGATATGAGACTTCATAACTGCATGCTCAAGAATACTTCGTAAAGTGATATTTAGGTGCTCAAAAGGACTCGGCTATGGTGTGCACATGTAGACAAAAAATAAAACTGGAACAATTCCAGAGTAGGCTTGCCATGTGTTCCAGATAAGTTTGCTGAGCACTGTACATTGCATGGAGAACCTAAATATGACATTTGCAAGTCTGTATTGCAAAACTAGAGTGCAGCTCTTGAGGAAAAGGAGGGGAGGGTATGCCCCTCCTTACCCTCTCCTCCACCTACCCTCCTTCTCTCCCCTGGTCCTCTCCTCCTCCCCATCTTCCCCCCTTATCCTTCCCTGCTCCTCTCCTCCTGCCACTGAATTTGTTCATAGATGACGTGACATAAAGTCGTGGAGTCATTTTCCCCGCTAAATTTAGCGGAGAAACTTAACCTGCTAAAGTAAGCCGGGAAATGTTTCCATTAATTTAGCAAGAAAATTTCCCCGCTAAATTTGGCGGGAAAATTTCCCGCCAACTTTTAACGGGGCAAGAAGTACCATAATGTAACATGCGACTATGCCGACAGCCTCAGAGCTGCAGTCTTAAAACAAGCTACATTAAATCTAACACTACATTTATAAAGGGAAGATAAAGCACCAAATGGCTGTAAAAATTTCATCATGTAAATAATCAAAACTTTCCTCCTGGTGCATTGGTCTCGAGGACAAGGTTGGAGTGTTAGGGTGTCGTGGGCTGCAACTATCCTCGGCTTTTGCAACAGATGGCTAGTAAACATACCTGCTGCTTTGGGATGCAATTACGAGCACCAGATTCCTTTTGGGACGTGGTATACAGCCAGAAACAACCCAGTCGTGTAAATCGGGGGTGGCCAAACTGCAACTTGTGAGCGTCATGTGGCTCTTTGGGGGCCCAAATGCGGTTTGCAAGTCTCCCAACCCTCCACCTCAAAGTCAAAAGAAAAGCCATATAGTAAAAAGAGAAGCTTGCATTTTGTCAACTTTGAGCCGTCGTGTGCATACGGAAGAAGGCCCTTGTTTTACGAATTGGGCTCGCAAAGAAGAGACTTGCTGAGTGGTTGCTTTGTGAGTGAAATTTGTTGTGGCCAACAACTAATAAAAAAATAGTGTCATTCTTTTTAATTGTGGATTTTTATTTAAAATTGTTTCTTTTTATGGCTTTCATCATGTCCGTTTTGACCACCCTGGAAAACCCTTTTCTGTGTTGCTGTTTCTCCAATTTTTTGTCTTAACATCCAATCTACACAATTGCATGCAACCTCGTCCTGACTATTCTTCCCGTCTTTTGCAGGACGCTGCTGCGTCACTACTGCATCTCTCTGGGTGCAGGGCCTCTGTGGTGCTCCTGATGCGCCCCATGCCGCCGACGTGTCGCTGTCAAGCACAGGAGGCAGCGGCGTGGGGTCTCTAAAAGCGCCCCCTGTGGACAACTCCCATGTTGGAGTGAGTACAACACTTTCTGGAGTCTTGTTCTCTTTGACTCGAAGACGTGCCTGGCTTTACATAGGTCTGCTAGCCAAGGAGCTTGTATGAGTTTAAAAGGAAGGGCTTCCCGGTAGCTGGGGTGTATCTGTTCAAATCTTTAACAACTTCCCCCATCCTTTTTTTTTTTTTTTTTTTTGTGGATTTAATTTTGTTTACAGTTTCCTCCAGTGGCTTCTGCCGAGTTGGATTGACTTGGTAAAGTTCATCCTTCTGTTGTGCATCTGCTGGTTGCTTTTGCTCAGACTGTGTCGTTTTTAAGTTAAGGATTAGAGCTTTTGGGAGTGTATTGCTACACAAACTAGGAAGCCTTTCGGCACATAATTACGGCATTGGGAAGGCACGACGTCCAAAGCGGTGGAAATGTTTCTGTACCCGAACATTGACAACAAGTGGGCAAATACAAGGGCAACGCCATCGATGGAGTCTGGCACAGAATATGCTCTGCTTAATGAGTATGTAATAACCCAATGTAAATCTTTGCCAACGGTATGGCCACAGTCCAGTGGCCATACCGTTAGCTCGGATGTTGTGGGTGGCGTCCACACTGGTACCACGCTGGCACATTTTCACAGGCCGTTGCAGAAAGGTAACCTAATATTGTAGTAGCTTGATGATCCAAGGATCCAGTTCATTTTACTTGAAATTGGCTTTAAGTCTGCGGTGCGACAGCGGACTAGAGACACAACTTTTTTCTTATTTCTTTTAAGTCTCAACATAGTAAATGTCACCAGACACTCAAAGGTTGTGTGGGCAATACCTTGTAGGTTGTAGGGCTGTGGTGACAAATTTTGTGTGTGGGAGGCAGAAAGCAGATTGGCAAAGAGTGCTGCATCTGCGATTGACTGGGACTAGTTACAGTTGAATGCTCATGCTGGCCTTTTCATCCGGGTGTTGGTTTCAGGCCTTGCCCATTTACCAGCAATAATTTCCAAAAAGATTTAGGAAAATAATTTGCTGGAGTCTCGTAAAAGTTGTATGGTTCCTAAAAATACAATGCTTGACCGTAAACTTTGAAATTTTGAAGTATATTTTCTTTCTGTTTATTTGCAGACATTTCTTCCATTTCATCATGACTAATGCTTCAACCTTAAATTGAATTTGCCTTTTGGGGTTTGAACTGCAATGCAAGGAAATAGGATGCACAATTGCAATTATCTCTAACGCCAGAGACTAGGAACATGTCGTCACAACCGGCACAGATGTCGAAAATTCACCAGCTCTTCATCCACTTTTTTTTTTTGTTACATTGTTGAGTTTAGTGTAGTTTCTGGAGCATCGTTGAACGGTAAGCCATATGCTCGCCCAGTAGTGCGGGTCTGCGGCACATTACTGGACACAAAAAGTTGGTGCCTAGTACAGGCCATTTTACCTGCCGCGGTGAGTGCAATGCTTCTGTGTGTGGGGCTGTTCCGTCCAGGTGACATCCGTGCTAGGCTACTATGTGGGTCGTAAGTGGTTCCAAGGAGGGCTTAATAATATGCCACAATTTCTCGTTTTCACGAGTGTGTGGAAACGAAGTGGCGCGACCCGGAGTAGTGCCGACGGCTGTGCACTGACCTCGAGGTTTTTCTGCAGAAGGGAGAACTTTTGGCGCGGCAGTGGAGCCAGGAAGCGGTGCGGCTGACGTTCCGCTGCCGTCTGACGGAGAACACGGAGGTGGGCTGGGAGACGGTTCTGTGCCAGGGCCGCCTGTTTGTCCAGCTGCCCAGTTGCGCCCTGCCCGAGGGCTCGAGAGAGGCCTTTGTCACCCTGCTGGAGTTCGCTGAGGAGCAGCTCGGCTGCGACCACGTTCTCGTCTTCTTCTCCAAGGACCGTCCGGACAGGGGTACGTGCTGCTTACTCAGTGTAGCTGTATTCGGGATGATCCCTTGATGCCTGGGTTCTCGAGCAGAGTTTTAGGTACTAACTTCCTCAATCATCCTCACAAGTTTTTCCAGTTTTAGCACTACATATTTCAACTGCTCCTAACGCATCTGCTAATGCATTGGTGTTGCTGATTTTGCTCTAGGAGTCTTGCATTGTGTGAAGCTTGCCGCCCTAAAAACTGCTGTTTTCGCAAAACTAATTGATACATAAGTTGCACTTGCATATTTGTGCAGTCGAGTCTTGCATTGTGTGAAGCTTGCCGCCCTAAAAACTGCTGTTTTCGCAAAACTAATTGATACATAAGTTGCACTTGCATATTTGTGCAGTCGGCTTGGCAAAACTGCATAGATAGGCCTGCATACGTATATCGTGTCGTGATCGCGATGTATGCTCGGGCGGGAGCCGCTTTCGATACTCGCCAAGGGTTCTGTGTAGAACCCTGGGGCTTTACGGAGAATCCTCGGTGCTTCTTTATCGTCGTTGCAAGCACACATTTGGTTGAGATCCATGCCTATGTCTTGGGATTAAAGGTGAAGTCAATTTTAGTTCATAGTTTGCAGTGCACATTTGAGAAATAAAGCGAGGCATAGTTGTAGTGCTTTCTTGAAGCAGGCAAGCCGTAGAAGTTTTTAGCTCGAAAAAATTGCACATTGATCCGAAAAATAGATATGGTAAATTGGCATTCCGCTATTTGCTCGATGCACTTGCAAGAGTGGAATTGTAGCTTGCTCTTTCAATTTGTCGAATAAGTGGTGTAGAGGGTTGACAATACGAGTGAGTCGGCGATGTTCAGGCTGCGGCAACAACAGTGGGAAGCCCCGGGCAGGTTACGCTATTAAAAAAAAAAAAAAAAGCCCCAAGCTAATTACGCTATTTAAAAAAAAAAAAAAAAGTTTGAATAGACCGCCACGTTTTCCATTGTCTCGGTCTGTTTCGTAGGTTAGCATGCGGGAAAACACCTCATGCAGCCTTTTACCAGCTAATGTCGCCGCTGACCGTACTCCACCTAACCTAAACGGTGTGTGAAGTGGCCTTAATGTTTTTGCGACCTTCCACATTTGGAAACCGAAGTGAATCCTTTGCACAGTAACAAGGGGGTGACACCGAGTGTCGTCCCATTTATGTATTTCGTTACCGCGCGATTTCCCATCAATGTGCTCAAGTCACCGAATGCACACTTCAGATTACGTGTCGTCGTGGATACCGCAAATGCGAGCACGCGGCTCCTGTTGCGTGGTTTTGGCATAACTGCCAAAGCTATGGCACCAGCAAATCAATGGGAGCGAAAGAGTGAGGCAAGGCTCGTCACATCAGCCGTTTGCCAAGTTGTACGGCGATTAAAGTATAGCGCTTCACGTAATTTGACCGATGACGTTGCACGTTGCTTGGGGGCACGTCGTAATGGTGCCCTGCTTTCTCCCCACAGCTAGCATTGTGCGCACCTTCATGTTTCTGGGCTTCACGACGCTGACGCCGGGCCATCGCCTGGTGCCTCCGTCTGCCTCGGAAGGGGTGCTGTACATGGCCTATGCCATCGAGTGAAGAGGAGGCGAACAACTGCTCCTGGCAAACCACTGCTGCGTCGATAGATTCTTTTTTTTTTTTTGTGGGGGAACATCCAAGCAAGCGTAACAAGAGGTAAAATAAAAAATAAAAAAAAATGTAACGGGGAAGGGGATAGTTGGGGTGGGGGGGAAGGGAGGGGGGGGGGGGCCCCTTTCCAGAGACCGCACGCAAGAAATTCCTTTCCACAAGCCAGGAGATCCCATTCGACATCCACAATTTGCCATCCAAACTACTTTCGTTTTCCGACACGAGTATGGCGGCATTTCAGTTTCGTTTTCTAAAACTTCTTTTAAAATTAAACTAAGCTTTTTTTTTTCTTCATTTTTCCTAGATGGATATTTTTGACTTGTAAAAAGTGTACACACTAAAAAATTCCCGTTTTTTTTAGAGTTCGGGACCAAGCCTAGGTAGGGCTCGAATGTTGCATTAATTCAGACATTAGAGTAACCTGCCGGCGTAGTGTACCTTGCAGCCAGAAAAGCGTGCAAATTTCGACCTGGTTCCTCGCTTGTGGGACGTTTAGCTTCCTCCTGTGCTAGTTAGCTGACTCGTCTGTCTTTGTGTATCTATACATATATGCTACTTTTGAGACACACCAAAAAAAAAAAATGTAAACAGTTTATTGAAAACAAGTCCTTTTTCATGTCATCACCGATTCATAGTTAGTCCCTTGTCCCATTTCAGTTTTGGCTCTAGCCTTTTCTCCTTCGGGTGTATTTTTTTCCTCGGCTTTCTTTGAACAATATGCAACTTATTTTTGTTTCTTTGGTGTTTCTAAGCAGTACAAATAAACTCTTTCTCAAGATTTCACGTTGTTCTGTTCTGGGGCCCTGCACACTTTATGCGAGTGATGGAGTGCATTGCACTTGTTTTGAAAAAGGCAAGGTTTGGATACTTTGGGCGTCGGATACTGGTGCGAACGTGTCTCATTTGCACATTCTTGCTTTGAATGAGGCTAGAAGAAGCCATGTACTTTGACCAGTCTATTTAGCAGCATTCTGTAGCATGATGTAAGCATACAACCATAGCTGTGTGCTCTGCAGCTAAACACATCCCGACGGCAAATGTTGGTTGGATTCCTTTCGCACGGTTCGAACTTGTTTATGGCAGATAAGTACCTTTACTTGCAGGTCATGGTAATGACCACACGTGAATACTTTGTATAGCATCTTTGTAATACCACATGCCCATAATATGGGACTAGCCTCCTGTACTGCAGTAAACCATAGTATGCCATATTGTCTATATACAAAGGAAACTCTAAAGAAGCCGAAATTTATTTTCTCGTTGAAATTTTTGCGGCCTTTACAGTACTCTCAACCTGATGGAATACACTTGTCGATGCATTTTTTCCAATGCACATAACAGCCTTTGAACTAGTCTATTTTGATGCCTTTCAGTGCTTCTGCAGTCTTTTTTTTTTGTTTCACCTTTTCCACGTCGGCAAACTGCTTTCCTTCGAGTGAAGTCGGGTATCGTTCCTGGTCAAAAACTGCTGAACGGCCGGCGCAGTGTGGGCAGGTGCGTTGTTCCGGTGGTTGAACCAGCCTCTTGTTTCCCACAACTCGGGCAAATTCCGAGTGCACAATCCCTCTCGCTACGATGAAATAGATTATCATTGTTTTCATGTGGAACTTGCTTGTGGAAGTGGCAGTTTTTCATTAGCTGGATTACTCTTTTGGAATTGTGGCCGTAGCACCTAATGTTGTAGCACCAAGACTCTTGGCTGGTTATAACCCTCGAAGAAAGAAACCATCAACGTTGTCTTCCAGTGATGCGATTGCTGCACCAAGGTGCATACTTTTCTACATTTTGCCAAAAATGTGAGGAATTTACGCCATATTGTGCCAAAACTTGATTCTACTTTAATAATGAAAATGCAGCTCAATTCCTGCTACACAGCCAATTTTAACGATAAGTGTGAATTTTTTTAAACTTTCAATTATCGCCTTAATTAACATGCTACTCGATTTAATATCTCTAAAACACTGACAGTAATTTGAAGTCTCAATATTTCATAATCTTTGGTAGGTTCGGTAGCTTCGCTGAGTGTGCTTCTCAAGAGGGCTAGTGCACTGCAGTGAAGCGACAACCGTGGGGAAGGCATTGCGATTTTGCGTATCTTGCTTTGCTGCACTGCAGCCACGTGCTAAGGGGAAAGTGCTCCTCCAGAGCAGGGCATTGCATACAAGTGGTGTGTGCGTGTAAAGTAACATGGTAAGTGTGGACGTAACAACTCTACCTTGTAGCAAAAGTTCTGAATAAAACTGTGGCTAGAATATGATAGACTGCAAGATTCTAATTTTTGTTTTGTTCAAATTGAAGATTTAGTAAGTATACTTGTGTATTGGAGGAAGATTTATTAGAATGCTCTAAGCTTTTTTTGTCTAGTTATTACCTTTACATAGGCTCCATTTGTGTGATAGCAGAGTGAATGGAGCAAATCAAAACTAAATTAACTGGATCAGATGATGGAAATTTGAGAATAACCATAATGAGTTTGATTGCATTGTTTCCAAGTCTTATCGTTCACATGCCGATTTTTGTTATGAAGTCCTACTTGTAAATTGTCATGACGTTAAAATCAAATGACAAAACCTTCGTTTTTCTCTGAATCCATAACTGCAGTTTCATTCCAACCTTTAGTACTTAATGAAACATTTGGGCGCTCAATATTATAGTGTTCTAACATGATTTTCGTGAAAAATACTATTTAGTCTACCTTTGGCTCTATACCTAGAATAGCCATTCACAGCAGTCCATACTGTCCATCAATCGGCATACTGTTGTCGTTCCTGGTATTTCTATACGCAAAAGTTCTCTGGCTGGGGAGGAGGAAGCGGATATGGAATGCTGAAAAGAGGAGATGGTTTCCTCCTCTCCTCTTCAGCATTGTTTGCTTCCTCCTCCCCTTTCCTTAAACCTGCCAAGCAACTGATGCTAACAATAGGGTCCACAGAAGTGGGAAGACAAAGTATAGGCAATGTCTTGACAGATAGGTCAATGTATGAATCTTGACACATACAGTGGTAGGAATAAAAATGAGGTGTAAACGTGTTTCAAAAGTCTCTTTTGCTGCTCCAAAAGGTGGTCCAAAGGACCCACTGCATCACTATGCTTTTTCAGAGCACAGCATGCAGCCAAGTGATCGCCTTTTTGTTCAGGTGCGAGTAAACGGGGCACGAATTTGACAGCAACTCGTTTAATGTGCAATTTCTTCGATAAAATTCGCCAGCAGTAACACCTCGACACTACAGTCAAACTCCACAAGTCGATCAATCATCCAACGGCGGTTATCGAAAATGGCTTGACAAATTATTTTGTTTCGGGTAGTTGGAGGACTCCCATACAAGGTTGGCAATAAATCAAAATGTCAATATGCACTAAAAAAAAAAGTAAATTTATGTTTTATATTTGGAGCCGCTTTCTTGCAAGTCATCTGTCGCATAACTGTTTTTGGCACCATTTTCCTACGGCGCAGCAAACAAAATTTCGCTACTGTATGTTGTTCGTATAAATTGGCCATCACGAAATAGGCAAATGTGTTGAAACACTCCGAAAACAGAATCGGCTGAAGCCGAACACATCTCGCAGGAATGCAGACTGCTAAACCTGCTTCCTAGATTTTGTGTTGACACTTGGGAATTGGAAATTGAAAAGAAGTAGCGCAGATTCCAATGAGGTGCTTTTTTTCTTCCTTACGAATCAGAAAGAGCTAGCGTTTGTTAGGAACATAGCTCAGGATAAGAAATTAAGTTTCTTGAGTGTTGTGAAAAAAAAAAAAAAAAAAAAAACTCCTTTTCTTTTATAGTTTTAGCTCATGCAATGCCTTCTTAGCTAACTTTTTCTTTGTCCACATGCTTCTATGGTTGTTCGTAAGGGTGCATAATCTTGGCAATCGTGTTACTCTTGTTTTGTAGGATAACAACTCCGAAGTGTTTGGAAAGGATGACATTGTGCGATCTTGGAAAGGGTGATTGTGCGAGAAAAGATGACAAATCTCTTCAAAATGCCATAGTTTATTATACCTGCCAAGTCTCCCGTATCACCCGCGAGACTCCCAAATTTTGACTAGTTTGTACGGTTGTACGATTGACAGAAAAATCTAAAAAGCACGAATTACCTCCCACACACCCCCCTTCTGCACTTAAACGACGAGTTTTTTCCACATCGATAGCGAGGCCCGACTACCTCGCTAGCATGAGCAGTGCAATAGAAATGTAATGAAGTTGTCTTCATTCAAATTTGCTGTCAACATTTCTTTTTAAAGTAATGCTACCTTCCCCCCTCCCCCCCTTTCCTGCTTAGAAATTCTCCCGCATTTTGTTTCTCCAAACTTGGCAGGTATGGTTTATGCATTAAAAGCTTGAAATACTCAAGCAGTGCTTCAAGCTATAACATGAAGCAGAGTCTCCACCACAAACACTAAATAGGACCCTTTGATTTGCCAGAAATGGCTGAACTACATTCGGAGGAGAGTTTGCATTTGATTCGAGAGGAATTAAGTTGCAGCTACAACCATGCCTTCTTGCTGCTCAACTTTTCTCACTTCTGTTTGAACTAGTTGAGACTTCCAGATTGAATGCAAGCAGGTCACTTGTGTGCCTGATTATAAAACGCCTCATCTCTCTGGATCCCCGAGAAGAGCACCTTTCCTAAGCATACAACTGCAGTGTAGGGAAGAAGCACATGCAGGGACCTGCATGACCTCGACAGCTCAATCGCGCTAACAGAACAGAATGCACCGACTCGGCTACCATTTTTGAATATGTTTTGTTGGCTATTGCTAGAAAGAAACCATTAGTGCGCCGTGCCCAGAGCAGTACGAGAACTTCCCCTAAACTCTTAGTCCTTCCGTACTGCAGAGCATGCCTCTGCAATGCATAACAATACTGCGGGGGAGTGTGCTCAACGTCTACCGAGACCGTGAAAGGTTGCCTATGAATAGAGATAGGTCCGCAGTTCCTCATTCCATAATGTTAGGAAGATTATTCAGATTGTTTGCACAAATCTCCCTACCTTGGGAACTTTTTAATTAGTATACCTTCTACTATTCCTAGATTGCCATGTACTTGTAACTTTGATGCCCAGGTTTCTGTTTATGAGTGCAGGTTGTAACTCACTTTGAAACTTTGCTAGAATATAGTACAAAACCAAGATTAATGAAATACCAAGTTTCCCACAATTATCACCCGGTAAAAAGTGTCTTGGCTTTGCCCTAGCTGACTTTGGGCAACTTTTTCAGTGTTTTTTAACCTATATTTCCATAGCTTCATGTTTAGCCACCATGCAGGCTCTGGTAATTGATGCAGTCACAGCCTGCTAAATATATATATTTTTTAATATAATTTAATTAAGCACATTCATCCAAAATCAGCATCTTTGGCTATACAAGCACCCCTTCTCAATCCTTCAAACACTGCATTGGGGCACAATTGGCTGCACTTTTTACTGTTGAAGATATATTCAACACTGTGAAAGGTGCTGGGATGATTGCATGAAATCTATTCGGGCATTTCATTTGCACGAGCCTGTATACAAATGAATAAGGTCAAGGTTTGTGCACTATCACTTTTCATATCATTGTTTGTGCTCTGTGAACACTTACAATGATGTACTACGGTACACCATTGCATTAATTGAGTACTATGGTATGAATCCTTTAAGTACTATAGTACTATATCACATGTCTGCATGGTGTGCCGGACTGACTTGCCTACTCGGATACCATATGATCCTCCCCTTGAGGCCACCTGCACTCGGGGCCCATGTTGCAATAAATGCCCACTTTCTACCTTTAAAATACGAGCAAAGGACATATCAAATGCCCACCGAGCTAATTGAGGTGCTCCTCTGCGTCGGCTGTATCTTCGAGAAGCTGGTGCAAAGCTGTGAAGCTTCACACGCATGCATTGATGCAAAGCTGTGAAGCTCGATGGGAGAGTGCCGGCACGAAGCAGGCTTGACGAGAGCAGCACGGCTGCGTTAAAATGAGTGGTTCTGCCAGACCTCTATACTGCTCATATATATCATTTCACCGGATCAAACAAGGGCCTACCCAAAGTAAATAAAATACTCCGTGTCACTAGTTGTGCGCAATACAGGCGAAGGCAATGCCACGCGAGGGGAGAAAGGGCGTGCACCAGAGAGGCTGGGGAGGAAGAGAAACCTCTCCTCTCCAACGTTCCTAGTGCGTTCCCTTTCTCCACTTGCCCTCCTCTCTTGTCCCACCTTCCAAGTGCTGGCCCCCTCTCTTCACCTGGCATTGCCTCAGTCTGGACTGCACACAATTAGTGACACGGAGTATAGGCCTACCTTACCATGTGCCTATAGGCAAGCACAGTGGGGGGTCCAAGCATGCTATGACCCCCCCTGATGACTCTGGCGGGGTGCACATTTAGTAAGGTTCTATTTTTTCGCTCCAGAGCCCTTCAGGGGGGGCATAGCATGCTTGCCCCCCCACCCCCCCTGTGCATGCCTATGTGCCCCCTCTGCTTTTCTGCTCTTGGACCTAAACCCTACTGTTTCATCACTACCTTCAACTTTTGTATTAGTGCTTGGTTGATATATTACGGTAGTCAAGGTACCCATGTTACAAAATTGTTTCCGATTATGGAAGACATTCACTAAAAATGAAGTTTCTAGCACTTCTTTTTGGTGTGTCTAGATACTGTGACTGTTAAATAAACACAAGACTCTGTCCAATATGCATATACACATACATATGTAAGTCCACACATTTATTACTCATGTACATAACATCTTTGAACAAACACTGGCTGCACCAGGCCTAATTATTGCTACAGTGAAATCTCGATTAATTTGAACCCGAGAGAGACCAAAACTTTGTTTCAATAATGCAAAGTTTGAATTACCTGGAGATTCCTTCCTAGAAACGCATAGGGCGGGACCTGCATGTTAGTTTGAAATATCTGCGAGTTAGAATAAAGAGGGCTTGAATTAACGAGATTCCACTGTATAACTTGCATAATGTACAACCGTCTGTTTAAGGACTCCAGTTATATTTCGTAAGCATCTACAAAGCACAAACTTCATGTTAACAAAACCGTCCTTTGTGTCAATGTGGCCGGTCGACGCTCGACTAGATATGCAAGGTGTGCCTTACGGCACGATACGCCCGTAGTAGTAAACGAGTTAATAACCTGGACATGGGTACAGATAATGCTGCACATGGACAAGCATGCACACGGTGTGGCGGGGTGCCAGGCAATTGTAAAGTAGATCACAATAGGGGAGAAGAAAGGAAAGATTGAATTCCTCGGATTGGAGGAAAAAGCGTCCCTCCACCCGAATCGTGAACGCTACGCCCTGTGGGGGCACGGAGCCCCCCCAACTTGGCATTGCACAGTCTGAAAGGCTTGGATCCTCCGCAGCGCAGGAGCACACAAGTTCACGTCGGCTCTTTACAGCAGTAGTTGCATATGCTAGGGCATGCAGACTGCGACTCTGCAACGGAGGAAATTCGGCTGATGATCAAAGTGAGAGGCGGCTGGTCGGACTTTTTGCATGGCCTTTGTCTCGACTGGCAACACTGGCCACCGGTTGTAATGTGTACGTGCTGTGGAAAACCAGTTGAAACTGAGAACCAGCAAATGGATAGCACATATTGTCAAACGGTTCACAGTAGACTTTCCAGACTTACTCTCTCTTACAGTCAGTGGCATTGGATGAGGAAGGCAGAAGGGTGGTGACACCCCCCCCCTCCCCCTTTCACTTTCTCCCCAGACGTTTGGACATTTCTATTAATGCAAAGAAAGAAAAAAAATCCTTCCCCCGCTTTCCACCTTCCAAGCACTTTTTGCCTTACAGTAAACATAGTTTTTTTTTTTTTTTTTTTTTACACTATGTAAAAGACATGTAGGATCTGCATTTGTTTATATGGAGTGGAAAAAGTGGATCTGGCTGTAAAACTAGACAGAAAAATTGGTGCCTGCACATGGAAAGCTTCAACTTTTATGGAATGTGCACAGAGTAGACCAGTTTTACCACATAAAATTTCAAGGCATAGTTATCTTCCTATAAAAAATGAGAGCAAGAAACTTGCCAAAGTGAACTTGGGGTGCAATTGCAGACGACTAAGTTTGTGATGCTATTAACTTGTGGCGCCATCTCACGATAGGTGTAGCAAGCAGACAACAGAATACGTCGGCTCTTTGCAATTTTACTGCAACTGAGACATCAACATTCACAAACTTAAAATTTTTTAAAATACTCCACGCGAGACTGGAATATTAATATTTTTCAAAATGTTGATCCCGATAGGTTAGCCCCGTTGAGTGTGCTTCTCACTGAGCACCATTGCACTGCGGAGAAGCGACAGTTGCTTCCCTGCAGTGGGCCGGTGCTCGGCAAGAAGTGCTTACCTGCCGTGATCAACACTTCGAAAAATATGAATATGGCAGTTAGTCTTGAAGCAAATATAGAATAGCATACCATTTGTAACTACTATTATATTCTCACAATCCTCTCAAATGCATTTTAACAAATGATCCAAGCACTAAGCAGTGCGCCGCGAGTGTGTTAAACATGTTGCACGTGCTGGCATCTGCAACAGTAACGGATCTAAACTAACAACCTAAAACAAATGGCACTTTGCTCATGCATTCATCAATGCCTTATTTTGATTATTTAGTTTGAGTCTTTTAAACCGATAATGCAAGCACATGCAGCATGTGTACCTAAGTTCCCAACATTCTCCTTAATGCTTGGGTAATTTGACAAAAGGATTGTTGAATTGACCCTGGCTATAGCAAAATTTTCTGAACACATGTGACAATGCCCTTTGATAGCACCCAAGTGTTGGCCACCTGCACCTTCATTTAAATTTTTTGTGATTTCATTCTTTTTACTGCCCTGTCATATCATGAGGTAAAACTGATCACTAATATACATCTTTGATTAAAATTTAATCTGTCCTCGTTCAGGCATCGAATTTTTAGGGCGACTTTACAATGATTCAACTGCCCGTGACATCCTGTACACAACGAGGCGGCATAATACAAAGCAACATAACCACACTGATGGTCACATCATTTTAAATGTGTGAAACAGCAGTATATTTACAGCGACATAAACTCTCACAATTTGGCTATCAACGGAACACATAATCTATAAAACATAACGGGGCTTGCCAAAGAATTACCGTGAATCATGTAGCCTCCAAAATGTGGAGGCACCACCGTTTGATTCCTTTGCTAGGCATGAAAATTGAAAACTCCTCAGCAATTTGTCGCATTTACAACAAAACAGAAAGGGGATTATGCTTAGAAGCCTCGATAGTATCCATATATTACATCCAAAGTTTTGGGGTTACTTCGGCAAAACTCTCATAGTTTCATTTTTTTTTTTTTTTTTTTTTTGTGCATGCCAGTACCTTAACCTTGAGTTACTTACAAAATAGGCATAACTCTCTATTATTGAACTCGCGACCACCAGTGTTCCTCCGATGAAGGAACGGCGCTCTTCGCAACGCGGAACTGCAGCAATAAACACTTAAGGAACCATGCACCTAAACAAAGGAAGCAAATCTCTTCACACCAATGCCACTAAGCCTCCAAACTACCTGATCTGCACAAATTAGAAGACACCATTTAGCGGACACGATGGTCTTTCTCCGAAGCACAAAACACGCACGGTTGTGCCGCTCTGCATCGCAGAGCAGCACGACCGTAGCAAATGCTGTGACATTTTGGACACGTCACGGCGTTGGTGGCAGTTTCTACAGTTCCGCCGCTTGGCAGTGCAATGAGACCATTCGCTCGTGCGTGTTTCATGCTTTGACCCGTCTTCCTACGTGTCGGCCAAACAACACCAGACGTTTGCCCGGTTCCGAACGAGCCGGACAACAGCAGTGCACAATTGCACGACCATCAATCATTTGACTACAAACACCATCCAGAACTGCGGATCGCCCGCGTCTTCATGCACGTGCACACGCTCGTGACCTTGTCCACTCTGCCGGTGCAGCCGGCGGAGCAGACGAGGCCACCTTTACCCGGCTATAGTCCGTCGCAGGTTAACGGCAAAATGAGCCTCCAACGGTGCTCTCCGCTCGCAACGATGGGCCGTTTACTCCTATCCGGCAGTTGCTCTGCTAAAGTGGAAAGAGAGGAGGCTCTTACGGGAGGAGTTTAACCCACCGTTCTTAACCTGCAACGAACTAAGGGCCCCTCCCGGTCGCCCAATTTCTGTAAGCACGGCGCACGAGACAGGGGAAGGGTGGAACGGGCCCGAGAAGAAGCAGACGACCGGAGAAAGAGCGCGATGTGGCGGCCGCGGCAGCCGTGCCGGAACAAGGTGGTACGAGTGGGTTGTGGGTATGTACTTCTGGCCCGAGGCTCAAGGATAAAGGGGCGTGGATTAACTGAGGTTGAATCGGTGCTCGGAGCCGTCGGCCAGCAGCAGGATGACAACACGGCTCGTCACCCAGACCAGGCGGGCCATCTTGAGAGGGTTGGCGCTCACGCTCTTGGGCAGCGGGGGCGTCGAGTAGGTGCGCACGCAGCGTGTCTGCGCATTGCCCAGCCCAAACAGTCCCGCCGCAGTCTGCGAGACAAGGGCACCAGTGACGCGTCAGTCAGGCCCACCGAAGCTCCGGTAATTGGATAGATGGGCAGAAAAAGTTTATTTCGGCGGGTACAAACAGCCGAAGCCCAAGCAGCCGAGCACCGTCTTTTAAACACATAAAAACGAGTAAAAGCGGATGATAGAGAACATTTAAATCCAACAAAAAAGTCCTCGTCCATAAACATGGTGCTGTACGTCGACGTGAACAAGGCGTGGTCCCGGGTGCCCTCTATTATTATGGCGACATCTGTGCCATTAGAAAAACTGAGATTAAAGGCTGGTTTGCACGTTTGCGTTAGGGTGGGACAAAATGCTTCGTGCTCGCTCGTAACTGCTTACTACAAGAGGACACGCTTGCGCCATCTATCAGGAGGCCCTGGAACACTTCCAATCTGTGTCTGAGGTGTTCGTGAGATCGAGTGCATGCACTATCCGAGACAAAGGCTCGTTTATGGCACTGTCTGGAATTATTTCGAGCCCATGATGAAAGGATAAAGACCAGAAAAGTTTGAAAATATATGCCCAGATTGCGTCGTACGCGTGTTGCGAGCGGTTACGAGTGAGCACAACACGCTCGATAACCCTCGAACGCAAATATGTAAGCCAGCTTTAAAGGCTTTCCATAATTCAAACGAATCGGTGCCGCTCGATTTGCCTCGTATGTTTGGAATGCATTGTGTATCTCTCGTTCAAATCTGAAACCTCACCAAGTTGACAACCCGGGTCGTTGCACCGCATTACACCCCGATTTAGAAAAGTGGCTCCCATCGCGAGGCTTGGGAGGCACCGTTGTGCACCAAACGTGAAAGAGATCAATATTTTAGTGCGATTTGAATGGACAAAGGCACCTCACTTGTTACAATATAACGGCACTATACTCAAGGAAAGTTTTCTGTGGCACTTCAGAAGCGCGTAGCTTTGATCGGTGCTCGACGTGTGAGAGAGTGAACGGCACCCGTAGCTTCGCCTTTGTTGCCACAAAGTTGCTCCCAAGCATAGCTAATTAATGAAAGGGTAGGTCGGTGGCATGTCGTACAGACGCAATTTCCTCCATGGCACAGGTGTGCCACAGCAAAGCGACGACCGTTGCATGTACATTGCGGACACCGCTTTTCCACAGCATGAAAGTGCACGAAGAGCAAAAGCACTTCGACGTGGGTTTGTGCCCAAGCTAGTATTACGAAGAAGATTGTGGTAAAAGTAGAACCGACACAACGACAATCCCAAACACATAGTAGCAAAGACTTCATTTCCTCGACGTGCTAGGTACAAGCTTATAACTAGCAACTTACGTTTAGGAAGTCTACATGTACAAAACACAGACTAAAAAATTAGCAGTCGTTGGGCAGCGGCGTCGCGTTCACGCACCGTGGGTTGCGTGAACAAAAGCGTTTGGAACAAAACAGACATCCGACGCTTTTGTTCCCAACAATTTTGTATCTTTTTGTGCCTAAGTGTGTGAAACAGCATCTCCCAGACGAGCTCTTGGCATTGACAGTGCTACAACAGCATTTCGTTATCGGCTATTTTTTCTCTTTTTCTAGAGAGCGCAGGGTGTTGGCATTGGTTACTACGAAGAATGGCATCACCTTAAACAGAATGACATTGAGGCAAACTAGTCGAAGCCGTGGTGTAGCTCAGTGGTAACGCGCCTGTGTAACACGCGGCGGACCCAGGATCGAACCCTGCGGTGGCGGGCAATCTTTTCCAAGGATTTGACAATGTTGACGACGGATGCCCTACACCCTACGTGAACACCGGCTACGGTGGTAGTCATTTCCAATGGTGGGAAGAGCCTGCGACAGATATCGCAGTAAAGGACAATAACGAGAAGTTGACGGTGAAGAATTAGAAAATCCTCCTGTTAGATGCAACTACAGTAGGCTCTCATTATTTCAAACTCCAGGAAGCCATAAATTTTGTTTGAATTATCAGAAATTCATCAAATTTGATGCGAGATAAAATTATGATTTGCCATACGAATGGGTACAGATACAAAGCAGATATTTCGTGATTTCCTCTACATAGGCTTACTGATCATAAGCAGGTATGCCACACATGAAACATTTATGAAATCTATGACACAACTTCATCTATCCTTCAAACATTTTGTTTATCGTGGGCCGTTTCGACAGCACGTCACAACTCAAAACAATTTAGGCTTGGTCATCGGGCCAAAGAGTTGTCTAATGTCAACTGTTAAGCAGGGGACACATGGGCATTGAAAATGGGCAGGATGCGGCAGCTTCATAGCAACTTGTGCGGACACAGTGATGTGGACCTATGCCATGCTGCCACATCACAGCGTCCGCGCAAGTTACTCAGCGTGGTGCCCGTTTTCATAGCTCATCTGTGCCCTGCTCGAGCTCTGTAGAGTATCGGTGCACCGCAATCGCGGAGAAGCAACACCCACAAACGCAAGCTCCGCGGGTATTGCGAAAGTCGGAGCCGGATATGTAGAGAGTTTGGCCATTCATTGGGAAGTATAGGAGACAAATGAGGAGGCACCATTGGCCAAAAGCTGGCTGGGCGTGTTCCAGGGCGTCTTCACAAATTCGAATGTGGCCAACCAGGAGCCGGAAATAATACCCTGGTGGTGGTCGCGAGAAAAGAAATTAATAAGTGCGTCGGAGTAACTCTCTGTGACTCAAAATATGGTGCACGTGATGTTTCAATTACAATCATCCAAGATCGTGGTGAAGGGAGCAACTAGCAGAACGATCAACATAATTCGTACGCCAGGCGCCGAGGGCTGGAATCTGCCGTCCGAGCGGACGCACACTGTCCGAGCAAAACAGAGTTAGAGCGGCACATTCGTTTCTGACATCTTTGCACATGATCATAATCAAAACATCACATGCACCCTATTTTCAACCAGGAAGGGTTACTACATTTAACTCTTATGCGCTTATTAAAACCATATACCTATGATTAAAACTGTTTCTTGCTACCACTGCTAGGGCATTCTTTTCGGCTTCTGGTTGGCCAACAGCATGACAAGCCCTCTTTTTGCGTCTGGTGCACGCCCTAGCTCTGCCCGCACCTCCCATTGACCAAACCCTCTCTAGACACGGCTCTGGTAAAGCAAGCTCCGCGGGTGTTGCTTCTCTGGAGCACACCGGTGCTCGGAAAAAAGCACACTCAACGGGGCCGCGAGAACAAAATTAATGAATTGCACGAAAACGCTGTTCGAATAGACCTATCTTACCAACTAGTTTGAGTATGCCACTGCTGTTGCCATGCATCGTGGGAATTGTAGTCTTTCTGCATGCATGCCAACCACGCTGGAGGTCTGTGCGAGCAGAGCACAAGACGAGCTGTCTCGCACAGGCATCTGCCTCTTGTGAACTACATAGTTATGACGGCGTCAAGCATGCGTGGAACCCTTAGTGAGATCAGTCTATTAAGTGGCTTATAATTACATTAAGTCTAATGGGACAACCAAAATTTTGAAATTTGTTTGAATTAACCAAAAATACGAAATATCCGAGTTTGAATTATTGCGAGCCTACTGTATGGTCGATGATAGGCTAAGAATTCAGAAGAAGCTCTGCCTCCAGCATGACCTTGTTGCCTTTCACCAGACTTTGCTGCACATGCAATCAGGTGTCATCAAAAGGCAGAGAGCTTGCACTGGAGGCGGAGCATCCAGTGAATTCTTAACCTGTCACTGACAGTAGTACCTCATTAGAACGCCACTGTGACTGTGGCTGAAGGAATATTTCCGCTTTGTTTCCTGATAGTAAATTACTAGCCTTCTTTGATGTACCAGCATGCACAGCACTGGTGCAGGGTAAACTGCACATTCAATCTGTGTTTAAGGTTGGGCTGCACTCACAAATCGAATGACCAGTATACTTTGAACACTATACTTTTGCGCAGCTTCTTTTTTTTAAACTCAGGTAAAAATAGAAAATAAATTTTCTTTGTTTTATGGGTGACTGGTTAGCTTGTACTGTGATGTCATTGTTTTCTTTCTGTGCTATTTGCTGCATTGTGCCCCTTTGTGCGTCCTGACTGTGCACTTTTAAAGAGATGGATGTGCATTATTTCGTTGCTTCAAAGGTGACTGCTTAATTTTCCTTTCCTTCGTTTTTTTTTATCCGGTTTTTTTTTTTGTTGATGTGCATTTTGATGTTTGGTTTGTATTGGTCATGCAAATTTTCTTTCTGTTTTTAACATTTATCTGGGCTTTTCAAATGGTGCGACAGAGGGGAAGGTCGTCACCTCTTCAGGCACTTCATTGCCCTTTGAGACGGCCCCCCAGACAACCACACTACTCGTCGGCTGTCCGAATAAAAACTTGGACTTTGAAGTCGAAACGGGTGACATGGCCTGGATGGAGTGAAAACTGTTTCTAGCGGCCATGACTTGGCCCGCCGAGGGCTCACCTGCCAGAAGCAGAGCTTGTTCTCCCCGCTCGAGTAAGTGGCCAGGTACTTGCCATCGGGGGAGAAGGTGCAGGCCACCACGGTTGCAGAGTGCGCAGCTATCAGCTGTCACCGCACAAAAGCAACAGGCACATCGTTCATGTCTCGTGTGACGCTCAGGCAACTGGGGCCCATCGCCACAGGGAGAGGAAAGGCGTCCCACATGGGCCTTGTCTCAAACACCAAACCCACCTGCGACTTGGATGCCCGCAGCTCGTAGAGAGCCAGCTGGCCGGTCTTGGCGCCCACAGCTATGCGCCGAGTCGCTCCGCAGTAGCTCACATTGTTAAACCTGCAAAAACAAAATTTCCCTCCAGGTTTAGATATTTCCTGTGGGACCTACTGCAATTATTGTCTCGAGAGCAACCACAATTCCTTCGATGCTCCGTGTTAGGGCTGACATACAGAATCATCTTCTGCCAGGCAAAAAATCCTCTCCAGTGTCCTGTTCTCCCTTCCCTCTTGCTTTTCTATTCTTCCTCTCTCCTAAAAAAAAGCTACGGTACTTCCCACAGAAAGAAGGAGGGTCTCCTTTTTTCACTAAAAATTAAAGCAGGCAATCCTCTCATCATAAAAAAAAAATACACATTTTCACTCCCTGCCGAATGGAAAAAAAAAGCATTTTCACTCCCTCGATTGCATAAAAAAATATGCAATCGAGGGGCAGTTACATCCTCCCTGGTTACTCGTTCGGGACTGCAGTAGGAGGAGCGAGTGTCGGAGTAAATACTGCCCAATCATTTCTTTCCCCAACAGACTCCACACACTAAGCATCCAGTCCACATAGACTTGTTTGGAACTATACGCCCGATTTCCCCAGGCTCTCTGCACATGCACAGCGTTGTCGGTCTTTGTACGAGACGTCGCTGTGACATTGTTTTAATAACCTGCAAACTAGACTAAGCGAGTGCTAAGATGATTACAGTATTTTCCGGTGCATAAGTCACATTTTTTTTTTTTTCAAACATTTTTCTTGGTGCGTTTTTTACAACTATGCAATTTAATATGTTTTATTTTCAACAATATCTCACGGTGCGACACAATTGTTTGTTGTGCCATGCGCCATCTTTTGTGGAGCATTGTAAATACGTAGCCATAAGTGGTGTTGCCCCTTCCAGGAGGCGCCGCCGTCTTCCTTATCTTCCAGAATCCACCTCCCGCCACAACAGCCGCACTTGCCGTTATGCTCACACTTCGACGATTTCCCCAAAGAGGCTCAATGTGGATAGGCAAGGCAGTGAGAATAAAACTTTTACAGCACGTGATGGACGTTGCCTAATTCAGCCATGGTTTAGCATTCTTTTGCTTCAGTCCAGAAACACTGAAAGGTAAGTGGGCTGTATCAACGTTACTAAGCCCCTCAGCAGGAAAACTGCCATAGAGCCTCCTTTAAGAAAGTGGCTCCGATCTGTACTCGAGAACCGAGCTAATGGCGATCGCAATGCCGCCATTTCTCCCACAGCGTCCACTTCGGGAACTGCACGGATGCACGTCGAGTCGGGCGCAACCTCGCAGGGCCACTCACAGTAGCTATGTTCATGTTTCAACTTGTCGCTAAAGGGTGGCGCTGTTATCGTATTTAGCTCGGTCTCGGTAGACGCCAGCAGCCCAGGTTTCAAGGGCGAGTTTCCCAACTGAGGGTTTTAGTAACGTTGGCTGGTATACACGCATTGCAGAAAATATTCTCGTGTCCTTCTTAGTATCCATTTGATAAGCAGTTTTTTCTGCCACGCTCCAACCTTTGTTGATTGCAGCTAGCTGATCTCTTAGCGGTACCGAAATATGAGAAGCATGTTAAGATTTATATCTATCTGCCTGCGGGTTAATGCACATGTCATCTCTATGGATTGGCCTAGGCTGGACCTAATGGGCCAAAGGTTTGTTCATGAGTTTCTGGCATGTTTAAATTCCGTTCGCTCAGCGTGTGCAAGCTCGAGTGAAGCTGACTACCTTTTCATTTTGCATGTTTTATTGCTGCGAAAGACTCAATTGTCCCCGCCAGACAGCACCATGCTATGGGCATTTCTTGCAAGTCGAAATGTCACAGTTGCTGTGCTTCAAACGGTATGTGTGAACTGGCCGATTGCGCAAAAATCCAAATTTGCAATACCAATGTGCGTAAAAAAAAAATTAAATCATAGCGTGAATTATGCAAAGATGTGCGACTTACACAAAGGTGCGACTTACCTTATATACCAACGTTTCTGCGAAAACGGCTCAGTATAAGTGTGAATTATACAACGGTGCAAGTTATAATAGAATTACACATGGCCCACCCCTCCCCAGCCTCTAGTGGTAGTGTACACTTTTTCAAAAAACATTCTAGGCTACCACCATGTTACTGATGATGATGCAGCTGGTATGACTTTCGCACCCCCTATCAGCAAGAAATATTTTGCCACTTTTTTGAACTGCTGAAACCTGCTCAGCACGATTTTTTCTATGTTTTGCAGTTTTGCAATCTAAACTTTCCGGCCTCTCTTGAAAGTTTTCACTTTATTTTTCTTCCGCACGCTGCATACCCTTTGCATTATCTTCCACTGTGAGAAATAGGGATGGTGAGTGCCTGCCATTCAAGCTTTTCTGCTTGCCATTTACGAGAAACGAAGAAAGGGAAGAACCTGGAACGGCCTTCGACGCGATGTTGCAAACAATGACAGCTGTTCTCTCCACTACCAAAGATTATCTGAGTAGAGTCCTTCTCACTCATCGCCAGAAATAGCTGTTTGGGTTGGGGTGGGGAGTGGATCAGTCACTTCTGTTCCTTTGTCTTGGTGCTGGTGTTGTGAAAAAAAGCTCTCAAAACGTGCCCCAAAACGAGGTCCTCTTGGATTCTGTTCGATCGTCCAGATGTGATTGTGGTCGACACAGTGGTGCTGCATTATTTGAGATCTTCCTTAAATAAATCCTTTTAAGATAGCGTGACACCGTGTTGTACGGGCAATATATTGTTTGAATGTTAACACTTGCTAAATTTTATGTCAGAGTCCTGTCGTGTACATCGATAAACACATCATTTGTGCGTATTCGGCTATCTTCTGTTATACACATTTGTAAACACAACAGTCAGCTATCTTCTGTTGTAAATTATTTTCGACAGCTAAGTATGTGCTCTGTCGATTGACACGGCTGAGTGGGTGGAGCTGTCAGAACTCATTGTAAAATAAAACAAACATTCCAGCCCCATTCGTTTTGTTGCACGCGTATTCAACAAGAAATACTAGTTTTGCTTTTCGTTTTAAATGTGGTACAATGGTTTCTCAATGTCCTCGGGAAAATACATACTACACAATGAGACGCAAAAGATAGAGGGAAAAGGCGAGAATTTAGCCTCCAGCAGTGTCTGAAATTGTGCCTACCGAAATCAACAGTCCACTCAGTTAGGGTTAGCAGAGACGCCAGTGAGAGACTAGCCTCAAACCAGTGAGTGGGCTCGAAAAAGGTTTTCTTGTCCCTGGGATCCGGACAAAATGGTCCCGGATAAAATGGTCCCAGACAAAATGGCCCCAGTGGAAACGACTCCAGACAAAATGGTCCCAAGTGCAAACCCGGATCGAATGATCCCAGGTAAATTTTGCAGCATAGTTTCCTTGCTCTTCGGATGTTAGTCATACCAGTAGCTGAGCAAAGAGAAGAGAAAAGCATAATATAGAAACATTATACAAGATTTATGAAATAACGTATATAAAGGGTGTCCCAGACAATTGCATCAAACTTCAAACAAAATTTTCAGCCTTTCCACTCTGGTGAAGATGGAAGACCAGCGAAGCTGTACTATGGTGGGATTGAAGTATTTATAAAAACTTCAGCCGGCTTGGCGTCCTGTCGTCGCCGGGCCTCTCGCTTGCGCTTAGCTTCTGTGGCATGATCGTCGTCCGTGGTTTTGGCTCGCCGGCGCCAGTCACATCGCCGCCTCTGTTCTTGGCAGCGTTCCAGACGAGCGATCTGCTCTTCTTTCGCAAGGGATTCGGAACCAGTCGACACAGTGGAATCGAGGCAATAGCGGCTTGGCGGCGTTTGCCCGGCCATTCGTGCTGCTGCGCACGTCACCGCTCCTTGTTTTCCCGCTCTTCTTCCTCCGAACAAACGGCACACAGCCGACCAATCTTGAGTCCAAAGGGCAACTGATAAGAGTGCTAGCCCGATCTCAATGTCACGGGACACAGGACACGCATGATTGGTAGGGGAGACGATGACGTAGGGTGATGGTGAACTGGCTCAAGTTTTGTGTCGAAACGCTGCTTGTCCGCAGACATGATAGTGGGGGAACTATAAAAATAAATAGTGGCCCTTAACAGCTTTGCTGTAAAAAACAAATCGCTGTGCAGGAGTGAAACCAACTGTATGTCATTAGCCAGTGTCTTAGGAAAGTGCACAAAATCTTTTTAGGGTGCCTAGTTATTTAATTAATTAAGACTAATTAGATAACCTTTTAATTATCTGTTTAAGGGCCGAGGTGTGAATTGAAAATTTGTAGAGTGCATTGAGAAACACCCAAATAAGGTGTTTGGTGTCATCCTAAATATGAGGCATGTGCATGGTAATGTGTTTCATCATGGATGCGCACTTTCTTGCTGCTCAGTTCCGTTAATTAAAAATGTAAGAAAATACTTTCGCAAGATGCACCTATTTTTATTTCAAATCTACATTACATTTTACTAAAGCAAGGGTGCAGCCGACGCTGACGCTACGAGATGATGGGACAGTGCTGAAAACATGCAATAACGATCGTCGACCTCTCTGTGTATGAATGATCACCGGCTAGTTTAATCAAGACCAGAGTGCACTTGATTAAACTATGTGTATCTATATGTTTAGCAATTTCTAGGCTCCAGCCTTGTACAGGTCTTTGACTTATGCGCATAGGAGCCGTGCCATATAGCCGAGTAAGCACTAATAAAAATTTAATGTAGTTTTGGGCTCGTTTAATTGGTCCCTAAAATACATAACGAAAAGCTTGAATATCTCGAAATGTACATTTCAAGTGTGTTGAATAAAGCTTCCAACTGTTGATTAGAACTATTAAAGAGTGCCCAAAGTGTCAAAAAATCACTTGGGACTAGTATTTTGTCCTACACCCCTTGTCCTTGGAGCCAAGTGTTTCTTGGAAAGGTGTATAGACCGTTTTATCGTGTGTAGCGCCATTTTGAGAGCGAGAGAGAAAAGGGGAAAGGGCTCCCGGTGCTTTCCCTTTTTCTGATTGTGTAGAAAGAGGGAAAGTCCCGGATGAGAGGCTTGGCCGGTGTTGGGCGTCTGCAGTGCCCCAACTTCGTTCGCGCTTTCTTCTACGTTTCAAACACCCAAACTTAATTAGAGCTATGGTCTTCGATGGCGACAGTCCCCCGGTCATCGGGACACCATTGCTGGGTAATAGGGTGCACGAATAACGACAGAAAGCGTCGAATACTGTCCGAGGACCTACGTAGCTTGCATGGAATCCGGCAAGGCAAGTACGGCTGGGAGGTTTTTCAGCTCCATTGCTTTCCGCATGACTGGAAATGATAAACCATTTATACATTTTTGCTTGCCATGGGCCTATTTCAACGTAGCTGCTTTTAGTTGTAATCAACAAGCGATACACGAAACGGGAACCTCAATTAACTTTGTAAACACCCGGAGTTGCTACATATCGTCTTGCTGTGCTGTTTTTATCTACGTGTCCCTGTTCTTATATCTCATTGTGAATGAACGATGAAGACGCTCTAGATGTACTTTTATCGAACCGCAGAAAGCCTCGAAGCAGCCACGAATTATTTTACTATTTGATGCAATATTTTGGGTACTCACCTCCAATTTCTATCGCTGGCACGTTCGCTGCCACTGTTCCCCCGTCGCCACACTGGTGGATGCCATGACTCAAACAAAGAAACGTGCACATTGGGCTCGAAAACGCAGATCGCAACACACGAGACGTTCCTGCAGCGACTATCAAGCGCCTCAAAGCACGGAAACAACCCACCAGTGGCACTTCAAGGAGCGCTTTTGCCGGCTTTCTGGTATCGCGCAGAAGATTGCGATTAAAAAACAAACAAACAAACAATAGAACTACGTTTTCAACAATTTCCAGCCTCACCCGGCGGCGGAAATGAGCCTCCAACTAAGTGTTGTAGATGATAAAATCGAGTCAGTCAGCACAGCAAATGATCACTATTAAGATAAATTCTGTTACGAAATTTTACAAGCTGAAACAGCAGTTATCATGAGAAAACTCGCACGCACATTGCGAGTGTCCCCCATGTTCATCGGCGGTACAGCGTTCGGTGCGCGCTCCATTCACAAAATGTTCCGAGCGAAGTCGAGAGGATGGCGTTGAGGAAACGACTTTTCGGTTTACGGACGCAATCCACTGCCACGGGACACAGGGGTCATGTGGAAAGCGATAGAGCTCAAAGACATTGCAGCCACTCTCGCCTTGCCAGGTTCCTTGCAAGCTACATATGTCCTCGGACAGTATTCTATGCTTTCCGTTTTTATTCCTGCACCCTATGACCTAGCAATGGTGTCCCGATGACCGGGGACTGTTGCCATTGAAGCCTCTGGCTCTAATTAAGTTTGCGAGTTTAAAACAGGAAAGAAAGCGCAAACGAAGTTCGGGCACAGCGGACACCCAACACCGGCGAAGCCTCTCATCCGGGACTTTCACTCTTTCTACACAATCAGAAAGGGGGAAAGCGCCGGTAGTCCTTTCCCCTTTTCGCTCTCGCCCTCTTTCAGTAAAACGGTCTATAGTAAAACAAAGTTGGGGGGGGTTTACGTACCAAACCAACAAAGAGCAGCTGGCATCCCACGAGAAAGGAGCGAGGATTAAGTTTGCCCACCGGGTAATCTTCTGACGCACAACAGAAATTGCTACAATTGTTTGGCCATCCTGTGTCACCATAAAAATACCTGGTGCAGTTTTCAGGATTTGCCTTCCCAATAGCAACCACAATATAAATGGCCCTCATCACTTTGTTTTAGGGTGGTTTGTTTCTGTGGAATTCAATTTATTTAAAAAAAATTGCCTCATAAAATTTTTTTTATGAAAATGAGGCATCATGTTTACAGCTGACCCTGAACACTGGATTTTGAAGGAATGGTGAGTGCGGGCTACCCCGTGAACAGTAAACTGTTTATTAAACCCTAAACTGGGGTTTATAAAAACGCCAAATATTAGTCGTTCTGATAGACCTACACAGTTCAAAAGCAAAATTCAGTATATGTGAAAATATTTTACTCCTTTCGAGCGCTCCTCTCAACAATCAGAGAGGAATAAGCTTCTGCAGTTCATTATGAGTCTGACTTAACACAGTCCTTTGGTGCCCATAATGAAACCATCATACACATTCGTACTATGAAAGTGTTGAGCTGCCCTTGCCTATGCCATTTCATAGGAATGAAGTATAATCTCTGGAGCATTCTAAATAAGTTCAACATCATAAAATATTTCTTCGATTCCCCACACCGTGAAAGTTGTCTTCTTATATCCTGGAGCTCCACTTTTAAAGGATCGTACTATATGTCTATACCGTGGGCAGCACATGACTATATCAAACCTCTCAGAAGTTGAGAGGGAATTGAACAAGTTATGCATTTGAAGTGGGAATGAATGAATGACGACAGCGACACGCAAGAGGTTAGAGGCAGACTGACCTGCAGATGGCGGGGAAGAGGTTTTCAAGGCCCCGTGTCTTGAGCTGCGTAGGGTCCAGGCAGTGGAGCACGATTTCCATCACCTGGCCAAAACGAGAAGCACCAGAGGTGACTTTACAGCCAATTCAGTGAAGCTTAGGACAGAGATAACTGAAAAAGCTGCACAAAAGCTACAGAATTCTACATTTTCAATTGAATTAAATGCTTCATTCTTCAAAAAACATATACAGTCAAACCCGTTTATAACGAACAGCAGGAAACGCTACGATCAGTTTGATATAGCAAGTAGTTCGATATAGCAAAAACCATTTACAACGAACTTCCACGATGCGTTCGTTGTAAGGTGAGAGCTTATCTTTCTTTCTCATCTCTTCGCTTCTGCCTTGTAACAACGTGCAGAAAAAAAAATTTTTTTTTTGCTTACGTGCAGTTTTTGTTTTAGCTTATATATACTATATATTTTTTTAATCGCTTCTTTTCGTGGGCAACTGCTTTAGGATGAAAATTTTTTTTTCTTCGCGTGTGTGAAGTGATTTTTTTTTTTTTTACCTTTCTCGTTTTCTGAATTGCTTCTCTTCACTCAATTTCAGTCGCAACTTGAGCTTTTGGATTTCTTTTTTTACTATTTTATTTTTTTTGGGGGGGGGGGGGGGGGGAAGACAGGCTAGAAAACGATTGCTTGCACGTTCGTGGAAGCCTTTCCGGGGGGGGGGGGGGAGTTTGATATAGCCAATACGTTGTTCGTTATAAAAAGTACTTTTTACAAGCATTGTTATTTAAATTTTCCGCGAGTTCAATATTAACAATGATTCGTTGTACGTGGGTTCGTTCAAAATGGGTTTCACTGTTTTTCTAGTTACTGCATATGCCAGAATAACCTGTAGTCACCATACAAGAAATGATAAGCATACACCAAAAAATCAGCAAGATCATATGTATAGACAAATGGCCACTAGGTGCAACCACTTCAGAAGTGTATAGGCTGTTGCAGCATACATTCGGGGGTTAAGCTCATGTTTTCGATTTTCCAAAATCTTTTTTTCTTTTGACGAACAAAACACAAAACCAACTACCCCAGATGGGGAAAAGTAATGGCTCGATTTGGTAGAGATAAGTGAACGTGGGCGATTCTGGCATTTATGAAGAAGCAGCCTGTCATACCAGAATTCCAGGAAAGGGGGAGATGGGAGTTAGCATCACGCAAATGCACATAGGGTCAACCACATTTCGAGGAACCTAGAACGTGCAAAAACGCGTTTGCATTGCTCGTCGGTACCACTCGGTATCTAGGGGAGAACCCCCTGCTGTCTGGGGGATTCCCACCCGGCGCTCGTGCGTGCACATTTCCCACCCACCCGCATTGATTAGAGCAATCGCCGCGAAGGAAGAGCTACCGTGCACGGACCTCCACAAGCAGGTCGGCCACCTCCGTCTGCATCTTGTCGATGAGCAGCTCGACGATGCGCAGGATCTCCGGGCGGGCCCTGCTCAGCACCGTCTGGTGCAGGGAGATGTTGAGCGACTGGGCGTTCTGGGCCAGCGTGTTGTAGCGGTGCACCTCCCGGGCCAGCGTCGTGATGAAGGCCGGCGGACGGGCCGTCGCTATCAGCGACAGCGCGTGCCGTGCCGTGCGGCACGAGTCCGCCGCCGGCGTCAGCGGCAGGCCGTAGGACATGCTGCATGCCACGTCGTCCGCTCTCATCAGCTGGAGCCGTTAAACGAGCCACGCTTCGGAAACGCGACACTTTGGCCACCTTGGTGCTTCAAACCGTCTATACTCTGTTTCACCTTATGATGTACCGCAGAAAAGGCTACAGGCGCGAGCTTCTTGCTCTAGGGCACATCTCGGCGGCACAAGCTCTCGTGCATTAAAAGCAGCTGCCAACGCTATGAGCTCGCGCTTGTAGCCTTCGCTCCGGTACAACATAAGGTGAAGCGGAGTATAGCCAGTTATCCGAAGCCTCGTCTGCTTCGATATTAAAAATGGTAGTTTCGAATAATTCGCTATTCGATGTTCGCTTTGAGATGAACTCTGGCATTCATATTTTTCGAAATGTTGACCACAATGGGTTGGCCCCGTTTAGCACGCTTCTCATCGAGCGCCGGTGCACTGCGGAGAAGACACACCCGCGCACCTCAATCGGCGCTTTGAAAAGTATGAATGTTGCAGTCGCGCGCTTGGGAGGAAAGTGCACTTTAAAAGCCGGGTGGTGCACGTGCGCCTGGCGTATTTAAAGAGATAAGGAAACTGTGAAAGGTGATATCCTAGGTTACAGTAAACTTTTCAAATTAAACTATGGCTATTGTGCCGGAGTATACGTTAGGCAGAGATGTCTTCGCAAACTGCATTCATCATTCATGATTGTCTTTTCTCAAATTTGAGGTTTAAGAAAGGATATTTGCATACAGCAAGAAGCTCAACGAATCTCCTCAATCAAGTACCTGTATCTGGAAAACGCTATAGTTTAATTTCATGTCAAATGCATCATTTACTTGCCATTCCAATCACGGCAGTGGACTTTCTGAAACTACGGTCCATAAAAATGGCTCGGTTAAAGGTAGCTTAGGTATAGACAAGTGGAAACTTGGGAACCACACTTACAAGTTCAGCTGCGTTTTCGTTTAAGCACAGTGCAGTAAGAGAGAGGCTAGAAGAAACTATTTGATATTTGATTCAAAACTATTCGGCCGAAACTAACATTCGCTTCAAACTCAAAATCCACTATTCACGCATGATTACACACATATTCCACCAAGTGCATACATGGCTTGTATCTGATATGATTCCGCAGAGCTTGCGGTTACTTCTACTTAATGTTTGCTTCAAAAAACCAGTTTGACAGTGTACAATAACTGCATAAAGGCAATGCTCATGGCAGGTAAACCCCCAGCATGGCAGACCAAATCATGCCAGTGGAACCTGTTAACAACCAATGTCAATGTAAGTAACCCCTAAACAACAGCTTAGTTCGAGTCACAGAGAGAGGTAGTATAAAGCAAAATTTAGAATAGCACAAACCAGATTTTGTCGTTTGGCGCACCTTCGTTCGCAACTACCGTAAAATACCGGGGGAGTGTCCATCGCAGTTTCACCGAATGGTGGAAGCGTGATGGGCGCTTGTCTAATCAAGTCAAGCACTTAATGTATAATTTGAAAAATTCCTAAGTTTGGGACACGTTAATAGTGGGCACTTGAAAGAAGTGGGCGCTTGAGCGGTATTTTACGGTACAGTCACCGATCAGACAAGAATGGCAGGAAGGTCCTTTGTTCCACCTGCCAGCGTGAGCTTGCCACATCCAGTAATGCTTTGGAACATCGCGAGCTTCGGGCATGCACGTGCGACCAAAGATGCTGGAAACAGGCGCCCAAAAGGGACACCCCACCGTCTGCATCTCGTTGGCGACTCAAGCCTCACATTACTTCTGTCGTAGACCAGAGCACAGAGCAAATGATTGCCCATATTCTGCAACGTTCAAGGCTGGTTCCCACATTTGCCTTTGAGTCTGCTCGAGTGCATTGCATACCCTCGTAACTGCTAACAATGACTTAAGGGGCGACGCGAGTCTTAAAATAGTAAAAAAATTGCTAAAAATGTCATTTTTCAGAAATCGCAATTTGAAGCCATTATGGTGCAGAGTAGACTCTCCCAACATATGAATGGTCAAATTGGTCTCTAACTATTAGAAAAAAACAACTTGTAAGCGCTGAAGAGCACAATTGGCACCATCCTGGTTTCGTTTGAAAGATGGTTTCCCGTGCTTCGTTTTGGAGCGCTTCAAAGTGGCATTTGCATCAAGGTAGCAAAATCATTGATGCTTTTAGGAAGAGCATGAGGAGAGCTCGAGAGACGCAGATTTTTCAAAGCGTGCCCTCCTCCGAAGCGCCACTCTTCGATTGGCCTTGGCGTGCGCCCCCTCTCCTGACCTTCACCGCCTGCTGTTGAGCCTGCTCCACATTGTCTGCTTTCATTCATTACGCCGTCCGAGACGCATGCTCCTTTGCCCTTCTCCACTTCCTATTTTGATATTACTATTGTTTGCTTTCTTCTTTCTTTGTGCTTTCTAGTGCTTTTCGTGCCCCTGCCTTTCTTCGTATCTTCTGTGTAAATATTTTGGCTCCTGAATCGCCTTTCTTTATAGCTTTTAATTTTTGTGTAAATTGGTTTGGTTCATTGTTACATTTGGTTTTGCTCATTTTGACGGCAGGGGACGCCCGTTTAAAAGTGAGCACGCAGGAAATTCACAGTAAACATAGACGTTCTTGGAATAAGAGCAGCACCGCGTCATTTTAAATGACAGCGCCAACTTCGGTAGCACTGCAAGTCATTTTAAAAGCTTCTGAACATGCTGTGTCAACAACTTTAGTGACACTGCAAGGCACTTTAGGGATGCCGAAAAGCACTTCCCTGCTCGTGGACGTGGCCAGACCAAGCTCGAGTGCCGATTGCATTGATAAACGCAAAGAATCTGCAGAGGACACAAAAACTTTGTTGGCAGAGAAGTCAGCAACTTCGCGAAAGTTTGAGCTCCTTGACGTCAACTTGGTGACCAAAGGCGACGATCGAGGCACGGAGTACGTCACCGTGGATATGAAAGTACTGCATGCACAGTGATGTGATTGGCCTAAGCCATTTTGGAGCACCTTTTGGAGCAGCGAAAACAGTGTTTTGGAGCAGCAAGTGTGGCCTTTGGAGCAGCCGAAACAATGTTTTGGAGCAGCAAAAGTGGCTTTTGGAGCAGCCAAAACAGTGTTTCGGTGGAGAAAAAGTGGCTTTTGGAGCAGATAATCTTAGAAAAATAAATATTTGTTTTAAGTGCTGGACAAACGAAGGGCATTTTGTGTTTTGTTGTGATGTGACGGAACTTGCTGCTTGTGTTTTTATTGCTGAAACATCCCACAAGTATACAGTGCTGTAAGCACTGCCGAGCAATTGCAAAAAAAAACAAAAAAAAAAAACACTTGCCATTGTTTTAATGGTTTCCGACGTGCCAGATTTTTTATAAAAAGTAAGCAAACGTAAAACAGTGGATTGAAAGCGTCCCAGCTGGTGCCTCTGTCGCGCAATCATGTTAACATGCACGTCAGGGCAACTTCGGCAGGCTCGCAGTTGCACGTGCTTCGTCACGCGAGCGGAGACAGCGGCTGCTCAATCGAAACCGAAACCATGCCACTCTGCTTCGTCGCCAATTGGTTCCCGAAATAGTATGTGAAATGTACCTGTCCAACACCCGAAAATAAAAAGTCCAGCGGCGCATGCTTGCCAGGCCGGCGGTCGAGGTACAGGCAAAACACACAGAAAAAAATGACCTGAGCGCATCGATGTATGACATCGCGAGCCAGGTTCAGAAAGTTCTTGGAACGCTCTGTGGCAACGACGGAACTCATGACAGACAAGCGCTGTGTGGGTTCAGCGTGCAGACATTGCCTTCTTTGCTTTAGATCACTTCTCTTCCTCAACTTCCTTTCGCGGCAGATTTTTCACATACCGGAGTCCCTCCCGAAAAAAAGCCCACCGAGAAAAACCTAAATAATCAATACTTCGCCAAGCAGTCTTTGAGTTACATAGGGATTTTTGTAGCAGCATAGGATTTAAACAAGAACAGGAATGTCGATGCATATCAATTTAGAAACACATGACGTCGCGCGACCATGGCGACTGTGGTCGCGCGAGCGCTTCAACTCGCCGCGTGAAAACGTGGTTTTGATGGTTTCGTTTCACAGCATGACGGCATGTCCGGCACCTAGCACACTAACGTCGGACCGCCCGCACACGCCCGCGTTTTAGTACACCATACCCGCGTATATCGTTCAAATATTTTAAAAAGACGTGTGACAAGATTCCCGAGACGACGAGAGTGCGAAACGAGAGACGGCGGGAAAAACCATGCGGGACCGGATAGATGACTGATGTAGGGTTCATTGCGTCAGGCAGCCGCTTGCGCCACCTAACTCACGCATGCTCAATTACGGTTCTCAGTTTAGTTTCGGTTTTGAAAGGCGACCAAAATTGTTCCTTTGGCGCAAGCTTGGCGCAGATTCCCCATATTTTGGAAAAATGTAGCAGGATGTAGCAGGGTTAGTCCCTTGGCGCAGTTTGGCGCAATTGGCGCAGCAATCACATCACTGCATGCAAAAGCTTTCGCGTCCCAACATGTGGCAAGTGCGGGATGGTAACTGTTGAAATTTCAAAGTGCGACGGGAGGCAGTACGGCCTAGCAGTAAATCTAGTACTCATCTGCTCAAGCTGCGATTTTATCGAGCGCCACTTTTTGTCACCATGAGTCGCCATGGCAGCCAAGATCACGCCCTCTCAGATCAACTTGAGAGCAATAGAGGGGGTCCAGAGCCTATAGGAAAGAAAGCGACTGCCCTGAACCTCTACCCACTTGCAGCTTCACCACAAGACCTTTGGAAGACACATGGACACAGCTAGAGGCTGAAACAAAACCCACAGAAGCAGCAAGTCTGCAGGTGGTGAAGATCCTGTTCCAGAACTTCCTCAACCCTGTTGGAAATGTGGACATCATTTTTAATGGGACATGGAAGACTCATGGGCACAACTCGAACATTGCAGTGGGGTGCATACTCGAGCTGTACTTTAACCTGGTGCCAAATCACGTTGTCCTCTCCAGGTACTGCTGTGGCTGCCAGGGGCACCTGAACCAGATGACGATGGCTATGGTGACTAGGTCTTGAGCAACAGGTGCCTCAAGAACATCGACCGAAATGCTGGACGAATGGAAGCCAAGACAGCCCTGATCCTCTACAAAAGATCTCTGAAGAAAAATGCGCTGCATTACACGACCATTCTTTTTGACAGAGACAACTGCACCTTCTATGCTTCGACGCAGGAGGGCATTTATGGCTGCCTCAAGATCGAGAAGAAGGACTGCCTCAGCCATGTGCATAAGTGGATGGGGGCAGCTCTTCGCACCTTGGTAGAGAAAAAGGCACAAGGGGAGTCTTCTGGAAAAAAAAGGAAGCTGACCCAGGATAAGATTAAAAAAATCACAAACTACTATGGACACGCATTGAGGACCCACAAGCACGACGTCCCACAAATGAAAAAGGCGGTGCAGGCAACTTCGTTGCGCATGACGTCAACAGACAAAGCCTTGGACCCCATCCACTGTCCTGAAGGTAACAATTCCTGGTGCTCCTACATCTGTGCACTGGCTATGACTACGAGGAGCCACCAACATACAAGAGCCCTCTACTATGCTTCATTTGCACAGCACTGCAACCGGTCTTTCAGAAGCTGGGCGACCAGGTCCTCATAGAGCACTGCAGTGATGGCATGACGCGGAATGCCATTGAGAGCCTGCACTAGGTGATCTGGGGCCAAAACCCCCAGAGCATGCATAACGCTCTGCTGGCTGTGGAAAGGGCTGTCGATGAAGCAGTGTCTCGCTTCAACCAGGGCATGGTAAAGACCAGCAAGGCGGTAGCAGAGCAGCTTGGCTACAGCACTGGGAGCTGTCTGACATGCAGGAGCCTCGAGAAGGACAAGCAGAGGCTCAGCAAGGCCAACAAGACTTGCATGCAGAGCGAGAAGGCGAAGAAGATGGCCAAGAGGCACAAGTTTGACAGGACCCAGGACTACTGCCCAGGACTCATGTGAACCTACATTTGAAGCCGAAAAATTCTGACAAGATTTTCTACACTTTTTTTTTTTCCAAATATCATTGTTTTGTTTGAGCTTTGTTTTGAGGTTTTGAAGACATTGGCATAAACAATTTCTATGAAACTTTGTATTTTTGCGATGAGCAATAACTGGACTGCATCCTTAAGCTTTCTTTTTTTTCTATAAATTCAGTAGTAAAAGGTCTAACCTTAAAAAGAAACCTTCAAACTAAATCAATTTTTTCAGCTTTGTCTTTTTTTTTTTTTTATAAGGTGCCATTGCTTTTATAATGTTTGCATTAATAAACACCAGTGAACTTGGTATCGTTCTTCTCAGCAACAACCGAACTGGATTCTAATCCTTTAATTTTTTTCATAGAGTCAAAATAATAAAAGTAATTAGCTAAAATATTGACTAATTACAAGAAGATATTGTTTGCTTTCAGGCCTGCAATTTATTTACGGTAAAAAACTGGCTTCATAAAGATTCTATTAGCTTTAGGATGTACGGTAGACACTCGCAACTCATTGCACATTGTAAAAAAAAAATTTTCTGAATGAGAAATGATTATAACAATTTGTAAAAAATGACCTACCGTAATATCCCGAGTCATCGCCCACCCCCCTACCACCTGAAATTCATTAAAAAAGTGGGGTGGGCCATGTCTCGGTGGGTGAGCCCAAACACTTGATAAAAAGCGGAAAAAACCGCCTATTTTTCTCTGCGTATCTAGCACTGATGCACACGAGATACATCAAACTCAAAACTCGATTTAGTTTCATTGTTTTATAGAAAAAAAATGCTCACGAAAGAATATTTTACTATAGCGAAGTCCGTTGCTTGCATACGCCCTAGAAACACCGCCGATCTGGATATAGCACGAACGTTTGTTCCGTGAAAGAATGTCACCACTATGTTCTGCTAGTTAGTAAAAAAAAAAAAAAAAAACGAAAAGTCTACAAGAAAATAGAAAAACCGACCAGGCGCAACGAGCGAGCGAGCGAGCGAGCGAGCGGACCAAAGAAGCGACCAAAAGCAATGCTGGGAAAGCGGGAAAGCCGGCGGTCGCGTTGGCAAATACTTTGGCGTCGGGCCAAGTCGGGCGCCTTGTCAATTGCAAGCTCTTGCGCAACTTTCTTGTTTGGTGGGTACATACGTGCGTCCGTGCACGGCGGGCCATCAATGCACGGTTGGGACGCTCTGCAAACGTCTGTGTAGGGCGTTCCAGCAAAGCTTTATTTACGCGTTGGCTTTGCCTAAAATATTACACAACCGCGGTCGCGACGGGCGGGAAGAAGGAGCGGGTTCGCGGTGACCTTACTTCGGCGGAGACAGACTTTGACCTAACACTCCGATGGAGATAACAAACTCTTATTTTGTTATCTCCATCGTTTTCTTTTCGCACGGATACACGACCACTTTGGGGTCGCTCACGGAGGTAAACAAAAAGAAGTGTCTTTCCCTCCTTTGTTTTACTTTGTCACGGACGTCCTCGAACTGTAAGGTCCGCGGCCGCGTCATTCGGGTAGGATGAGTGTTCGCGGATCGCAAAGTCCGCGCTGGGGTATTTGAAGGGGTGGGCGATGACTCGGTGTTTTTTCGGAAATCGATATTGGCCAAAAAAATGGGGTGGGCGATGGCTCGGGGATGGGCGATGACTCGGGATATTACGGTAATTGGAATTTGATATTTTGCCATACCTTTTGTTCTAGAGGAGATACCTACATGAAATAGGTACAATTTCATCTCTGAGATCACCAGTAAAAAATATATCTGCATGCTAAATTTTAAAAAAGTCTATAACAAAAGAAAATATTTAAGGACTTGCGTCACCCTTTAAGCTTTGCAGTGTTTACCCATGAGAAATGGTCGCTTATGTCACAGTCGGAATCATTCCGAGCCGAAAATAAAAGAATACAGAAGTATTTATGCAAATCAGAGGTGTTCCACGGCCACACAACAGATGGCGCCAGTGTGTCCTCTCGTTGTGAGTGGCTACGAGGAAACTTGGTTGCACTTGAGCACAGACCATCTTTAGTTGAGATCGAACCTTTAGCTGAGGTCACAGTGTCAGGCGACCACACAACTCGACACCGTGCCATTGCATAACATCGCAACTCCACAGTGTGGCACCAATGCGCCACACTCCACAGCGTCCTGTGAAGCACCGTAACCTAAGTGACGCGATCGCGGAGTCGGCGTCACCCGACCGCCTACTAAATTTAGCGAAAAAATATTGCGCGTCAGGCTATAAAGGTTTGAGAGAGGGCCGCCGGTGTAACAGGGACCCCCGTGTACCTGGGAACGAGCTTGTCGGAGTCGCAGCAGAGCTCGAGCAGGCCCAGTAGAACGCGGGACACGTCCAGGCAGGGCTCCCACACTGTGAACCCTCGGCCAATCAGGTCGATGGCCGCGCGCCGCAGGGACGTGTGGGCGGGGAGGGCCGCCGTCGCTGGGGTCAGCAACAGGTACGCCAGCGCCTGGCCTGTAGGGCGGGGGAAGGTCGGAATGATTGGGGTGGGCCATGGGAGTCCATAGCCCAACACACGACTTTTGGTCCATAGCTTTTCCAACGCACGACTTCTGGCACGTGCTCGTCGCCTTCTACGGCGCCTTGGCTGTGTGCTCGCAAGCTCGAGGCCTTCCTGCCACTCTCGTCCTGTCAGTGGCTACGGCAATCGTGGACGCTGTGGGAGGTTACTGCATTTACTCGAGCGATAGACACACTCTTTACGACCAAGGCCTATGTGTCTACGTCCCCGCGGGGCATAAATGCAACCAATCGTCGCAATCCACGTACAAAACGTGGCAGATAATGAAGTTGACAAAAAAAACTTTTCCCTGAAATTGTGACTTGCACAAAAATCATTTTCTCCTCGGTGCATTACCTCCGTTGCGTAAGCTGCTGGGTTCCTTCGGTCGAATGCAACGACTGGCTGTCGCAGGCTCAACAAGAGAGTGGCCACGCAAAGCTTTGCTTGTAAACGGTGCATCTATTACTCGAGTAAATACGGTAAATGTCTCTAACTGTCTTGCCCATTCTTGTTTCTCCCAAAATTACTACCTTTTGATCTTAAAAGGGAGCTTGGTCAGTGATTCAATACGTATGCCCTAAAATACAAGAGAAAGAGCTTTTTGGCATTGTTGCGGCAGAATCGATACCATTACCACGCTGTTTCCTGCGGCTTCCTTGGATACTGCGCTTGCCCCTAAAACTGCCTGGACGGTTTCAACGCTGTCGGGCTCCCTGCTTTCATGACCTATTTCTACTTCTAGATCTGGAACATCAAGCTGGATTACTTTCAGCAACCCACATTGCACTATGAGTGAATCTTATATTGCTGTCTGGGTATCAGATATGCCAAAGAAATTTTAAGGGGATGACATTAAACAGTATCTATAAAAGTTTTTGAGATAATGTAGGTGCTCTCTGCACTTGCAAATACACATCTTTAAACAACAACGTCGGGAGTTTCCCAAAATTTGCTCTACTCGCTCAAGGGTAAAGTTTTGAATCGTGGCTTTCGAAAACCCACCGGCGTCCAGCGTTCCTTTTTTTCTGTTCCTACGTAACATGAGCCACCAGAGTAACTTGAATCCATTCGAGCCAATTCTCAAATTAGGTTCCCCAGAGCTCTCAAAGTCCTACCTTTCAACATAGTTTTTTTTCCAGTTTAAACACTATCTTAGCAGATCTAAAACCTGCATTGAATGAGCTAAGCACTTCATAGTGTGTGCTTCCTTGTTCAGAAGACCTGTAGGCTTTGGAACAACTTCCTGAGGAGAGCAAGTCGTCTGCTTTTTGCACAGGAGTTGCGGTGATGTCAGAACGACGCTGAGCTCCGATTGGCTTTGACTGGAAGGATAGTGGATATAGACCTCAATGCTAGATGCCTTGAAGTCTACCTACTATATACTTCAATCAGAACCAATTAAAGCTGCAGAGTCCTGTCATCCAACACAACTCCTGCAAAAGAAGCAGACGAGCTTGCCCGGATCTGCATTACAAGTATGCCACGAGCACCAGGGGGCTATTAGAAAAGAGAGCTAACAGATCTCCAAGATCCCCTGATATAATGAACAATGAAGCCCAGCCACTATTGTTTGGCATCAAAGTGAAGAAAGATAGTTTCAATAGTAAACAAATTTAAAAGGCACAAGTTTCTAAAAAGACTGAAACGAATATCGAAGATCCAGTCTGACACCACATCACGTCGGTCTGGGGTGACCTTTGGGGAAACACTCCACAGAAAAAAAAGTTTCTGCAAAAAAAGTTGATTTGAAAAAGTGCTATATTTACAACCGCCAACATCTACAGGGTGAAACAAGGAGACGCCAGGTTCTTTAAATCGACCGGAAAATTCGGTTTCTTAACCTATCGCGCTACAACTTTGTGCAGCGTTGCCCACAGATGGTGCATTTTTTTTGTAAAATTTGCGAAGAGCGAACTTACCCGAGGAAAAAGTAAAGAAAGAAAAAGGCTTAGCTCCTATGGAAACGCAGTGACGCCACCGGTCTGCAAACAACACGGCGCCGTTTCGCACGGGAGACAAGAGATGGCGCAAGCGGTCGCGTCGCCAACTGCCGCCAACAAACGAGCAGACGACTCCGACAGCCGGCCTTTTTGCAGACAAGGAACTGCAGTTCCTTGCGGTTACCGCGCCTGTCTTTTTTGTTTCTGCGACTGTCGCCGCCTGCAGAACGCGCCCCGCTTTTGAGTTGAAAAGATCGTCTGCTAAAAAGGCCTGCTCTCGGCGCCGTATGCTTAGTCGTTGGCAGCGTTTGTTGCGCCATCTCTTGTCTCCCGTGCGAAACGGCGCCGTGTTGTTTGCAGACCGGTGGCGTCGCTGCGTTTCCATAGGAGCTAAGCCTTTTTCTTTCTTTACTTTTTCCTTAAGTAAGTTCGCTCTTTGCAAATTTTACAAAAAAAATGCACCATCTGTGGGCAACGCTGCACAAAGTCGTAGCGCGATAGGTTAAGAAACCAAATTTTCCGGTCGATTTAAAGAGCCTGGCGTCTCCTTGTTTGACCCTGTAAAGAGTATTCCCAGAAAGATTTGTTTGTTTACACTGCATTGTTATTTATAAATTATTTTCAGTCCACCGATGCTAAAGAAAGGGTAGAGGTTCGAGCTCTTTCTGCATATTTTTCTCCGTTCCACTTTTTGGCATAAATTTCACTTAATGAATCTATCGTTTCAGTATGAAACTATCGAAAGACTTAATTTTTGTGGCCTATGACCCGAAATTTTAGCCAGATGCCCGTCGTTGGTTTGGCACGTAAAACCCCCAAATTTGACCCGAAATTTTATGGAGGTTACTATGAACTTAGATTCTGCATTTTCATGTTCCTTTATTATGAAAAATTATAATTTGTAAAACTTGGTAAATGTCGGGAATCTTTTTTTTTTCAATATTATTTTAGTTGAGAAATGCATATTGCGTGAAATTTCTTTTCATAGTAACCGGGAACAGGTATTCCAGTATGCATTGCAGCAGAAAAATATATGGTTATCAACACCATTTCTCAACGCTAGATTCACTGAGCAGATTCCATGCCAAGCTATGCTTTACTTCATTCTGGGGGTATAGTACCTTATAAAATTGGTTCAGAGGGCTGAAAATTTGCATGCCCTCCCCCCTTTTTAATGGCTACAAACACCACCTGCAAATTTTATGTCGACTGAGCGAGTGGTTCAAAAGTTGACATCCCCAGCTAGTATCGTCCCTTAAAAGGCAACTCAATTTCATTTTTTGGTTTTGAAAAAACAATGCAGTCCTTTTCAGTATCGCCTAGGAAGACCACTTGTCAAATATTACGACGCAGTTCTGTCTAAATGTTTCTTAAGCGGTCCGGCAAACTTTGCAACTTGACAAGTTGCCGAAATAGGCCGACTCAAAGGCAGAATTCAAGCACAACCAAAGCGCAGTCAAGGCTACGGCATGGGCGTAACCAACATTGAGCTAAACGTCATCACCATTGCCCCCTTTTACTTGTTTTTAGTTTTCTGTGCGAGCGTAGCGGGTGACGTCAGCAACGCTTCCTCTCGGTGCTTAGCGGTGTCCACGTGATTGGCATAACGTGCCTGCACAGCGTGCTTTTTGGGAGCCGTACGGCCGACCCGCCGTGCTTCCGCCGTTACCGCCGTCTCCCGCGTCATAACCGCTGTCGTCGTCTCACCGTTTTAGATTATTGTCTCTCGGAGTTTCGTCTACACTACGGACACCACGTGGCCAGACATATACCGCAGTTGTGCAGACATCGTCGAATGTCGTAGACACCAAATTGTGGTGAAGAGTGCGATGCAGACGACACTTGCGCCTGGCACACGCTTGCCCCAATCCCACTCGTCGTTGCGTTGAGGATCAAGTGACATCTCGTACCTTGCGATGGCTATGTTCTTGGCGGCCCGAGGCCAATGTTGCCAGACTGAGCCGAAGTTTCGGTTTCGATTTCCGCTCCTGTTTAAAAATATATATCCCATTTTTCGCGAAGCAAACAAGTTGGTGTCTTTTACCAGGGCTTTTTAATGCAAAATCACTCATTATTTCGAAATCTTCGGAATTAAGCGGAGTTGCCCGTTAAAGGGAAGCTGAAACGAGTTAGAGGTGAATTTTAGCGTATTTTTATCCGCGAGTCTGAATATCACATTCGTTTTCCCTGAATATGTAACTAAACACGAGAAAACACGAAAAACCTCAGACCAGTCGTGACGTCATACTAGAATCTTTGGTCCGCCAAGTGTGTGACGTTCGTGTGGGCAGCGTGTGTAATTGCAAGTTTGCCAGGCATATTTTTCTGCACTGACAAAGTCACAAAGTCTATTTCTGACCTTTTTGAAAATTGCTAGAGTGCAGAGGCATAGCTTTGACAGGTGCTGAAGATGCGCGAGAGCAGAAATTCCGAAAACTCCTAGCATGACGTCACGCCCCAGGAGGACGGGGCTCTAGCGGTACTTTAAGAATTAATTTCTGCAGCCTACGTGTACCAAATTGAAAAATAACCTCAATATTTATGATCCTAGAGGCCAAATGAAGACGATTTTGGTGTTTTTCCTCAAATACAAAACCGCCTCAGTTTCCGTAAAAAAAAAAAAAAAAAATTTAAACAGCCTGGTTGGGACAGGCAAGTAAAAAAATGAATTTTACGCGAAAATAAATATTTTGGGAGCAATATTGATGGTGCGAGACGCGGCTTAGTTGGTAGTCACCTCCCTTTCCACTTGTTTTCTCTCTCAGCATTTCAGGGATGTGGAGTAGAGGTAGATCGGGGCTTGGCCATCACGTGGAGTTGGACAGAGAGTATGACCATCTCATAGAGGTGGAAGGAGCGTATGTCCATTCCATGATGTCATGGACTTTCCACGCAGAATTTAAAATATATCTTGCGCCGCCAATATTGCACTAAAAAAATTTCTTCGCGTAAAATTAATTTTTTAACACGCGTGTCCCAAACAATGTTTAAAAAAAATAATAAAAGACGTTTACAATCCCCTGTAACGCCGAATTAGAGCGCAAATTAGAGCTCTTGAGGAGGAGGAGGGAAGGGTACTGAGGGGAGAAGGTGGAAACTCCCCCGCTACTAACATGGGTGTGGATCGACGTGTGCCTAACGCAAGTCACAGAAAAAGCACATCTTTGGTGAGAGCATCGCGTGTAAATTTGGCGGGAATTTAGCAGGGCAAATTTTTCCCCTAACTTTAGTGGGAAATTTTTCGGCTAAATTTAGCGTGGAAATTTTTCTGCTAGCGGGGAAATTTTTTCCGCTAGATTTAGCAGGGAAATGTTTTTCGCTAGATTCAGAAAGCAAACTTTTTCTGCTAAATATAGAGGGGAAATTTTTCCGCTAGATTTAGCAGAGAAATTTTTTCCGCTATATTTAGCGGGAAAATGTTTTCCCGCTAGTGGTGACATTTTTTTGCTAGATTTAGCAGGGATTTTCCACTAAATTTAGCGGGGAAATTTTTTCCGCTAGCTTTAGCAGGGAAATTTTTTCCGCTAGATTTAGCAGGGAAATTTTTTCCGCTAGATTTAGCAGGGAAATTTTTCTGCTAAATTTAGCATGGAATTTTTTTCGCTGGTGACGTAACACGTGATGTCACTGTTGACGTCATCAGTGACGATGGCGATGACGTCATCACGATGACGTCACGTGATGTCACTGGTCATCATTGTGACGTCATCGTGATATCGTCGTCACTGATGATGTCATCAGTGACGTCACGCGTCCCGTAATGCATCGCACGGTTCCGCTGACGATGACGGCAAAGAAACAAAATGTTTTTTGAGCTGAGCTCAAAAATTTTTTTTTTTCTTTTTCAGGGGTTCTTTAACTGCACTCACTGGTGTGGCGTGCGAGGGAGTAGTTGACGGGGCCAAAGCCGTCCATGAGGGACTTCTTCTTCTGGTCGTCTGCATTCTTGCGCTTGCTCTGCTCAATCTCGTGGCCGTACTCGGCCCCGATGACGCCCAGAAGAACAATGGCCGTTGACTGCTTGCGCCGGCCCTCTGCAGCACTCCAGGCGTGCTTCGATGTGGGTTCCCCGCCTGGAATGCACACGGGGCTCTTGGAAACCAGGCTCGCCAGAAAGCTCATGACGCAATGTCAAGAGAAATATGACCAGCTGGCTATGCAGCGTAAACATTCTCATGCCTGTTTTGAATTGTAATGCACAATTAGATGATATTCCCCTTTCAGACAAGTGCTGATGACAAATTGTGAAGAGCACGTGTGCCGTGCTTACAGACGTCGTGAAAGCCAAGTTTTGTTGCACCTTTTTGAAGATATAAACGAAAAATTAGCTCCACTGGATCATAAATAAGAAATTAGTTCAACTTTAAATGAATAAACAATGACAAATTCACCTTGTACGCAAACACAAAAACTTACATTCCCCCGAGACACCCAAGTAAAGCGGAAGGGACATGTAAATTATTATGATGGTTGCTGGAAGAAACACCATACTTCTTGATTGTATAACGCAAAATATGTTTTCTGTGGCATTTCTATGAAAAAATTATCACGAATGAGCATCATAACGAGCGTCGAGGGTGTTACAGACATTAAGATTACATACAAGGTTCAAGCCCCCAGCGGGTCTCGAACCTATTTTCGTGCGGTGGCAGCCAGATGATAGGACCACTGAGCTAAACAAATAACAACAAAATAAATAAAAATTCAATCAATAAATAAAAATAAATAAAAATCAATGAATAAGGAATAAAATAAATAAAAAAATAAACCAATAAATATATAAAATAAAAGCATTATATTTGATTAACTAAAAAAAGAAATGAAATAAAATAAATAAAAAAGAAAGAAAAAAACTAGATAAAAAGATTGGAAAATCCAGCACAAGCAACACACAGAGTGTGGTTTGTGCGAGACACATTGTGTGCTTCCTAGCCTTTGTCGGCATCATTGAGCCTGTATGATTTCTTGAGCACCTGACTATTTCATGTGTGATTGGTTGTCATTGGCAAAAACTCTGTGCTCATTACATGCTAGCTTCAAATTTGACCGAACATAAAAAATAAAGCAATTCCAGAATGTCAGTCATTTAGTACAGCACCTGGGGTCAAAGAAGCACTGAATTGGCCACAGCAGAGCTCTCCACTCTCAAAGGCACCAAGTACAAAATACAAAAAAATAATTGAACAAGAGGAGGGACAACATGAGCAGCACGTCTTGTCTCGTTTGTTGATTACCTGCTATTGCGTCGCAACCGAGGCAATCGATATCCTGGCAAGCACATGCTAGAAGGAAATAGAGAAAAGAGAGAGAGAGAGCCTACCTTCCCTGTCTTCGTCCTCCTCCTCCTCTGAGGAGTTCTGGGGCTCGTTGGCGGTGCGCAAGGTGTCCGTCTTCTGGAGCCCTGACGGGGTGCTCGACCCCGAGCTGGGCCTGCTGCCCGCTGCCAGGGGGGAGCCCACCTGGAAGCTCGCCGGGCTGCCCTGCAACGAGACGGGATCCCTTCGGGACGACTCCGGCATTGTAACGAGATCCCCCTGTTCATCCCACTCTAGGCAAAGGCAGTGGTAACGCAGAATGCTATGCAGCACAGAGACAGATGCAATTGCGGTGCCTCCACTTCCGGTGTTGCGGATGCCTCATGAACAACCCTATCCAAAAAAAACAATCGCATCTCCACGTGGTGAATGATGTTGATTGGGGTGAAACTCTGGTGGTGCTTGTCTGTGTAGACGCTGAGCCGCAGCATGCCAAGCCTTTCATTTGTTTTCATCCATTTTCCGTTTTCAATGACGCTGCGGTCAAATGCTCAACTGTGTATATAGCCACATTCCATACCACGCATTCTCTTTCTGACATGGATGAAAACGAACGAAAGGCTCAGCATGCTGTGGCTCTCCGTCTACGCAGACAAGCACCACCAGAGCTTCACCCTAATCAACATCATTCACCACGTAGAGATGCGGTCGTTTTTTTTTCCTACACGAGCACAGGAGAATGTGCTCACGTGCTCGTGAGCGCGTGAGCTCACGAGCAGAAGCACGTGCACCCGACGGCGGACAGACATACGGACATGGCTATCCCCTAAGGAGCTTCGCCCCTAAAAGTGCACTATAGTGAAAAATAAAGAATGGTGCCGAAATCATCGCTGTCGCTACGCTGATTCTCGACGAAATGCGTGAGCATTTACAGGGATGGAACTGGCCAAAGCAGCTTTGGAGCAATCTCGGGAGCACAAAAAACTACATTCTGGACCAGGCTGGGAGCAACAAAAATGAGGTCTTGGAGCAAGTTGGGAGCAGCATAAGACTTTTAAGAATGTTAATATCAAGGCTAAATGTCACCTGGTTTTTAAAACTAAAGAAAATAAGACATGCAGGTAACTCATTGTGAACTTAACGGTAGTTTCAATAGACGGTAGACAACGACTAGAGGACGACGTCTAGGACGACCTCAGGGACAACTTCTAGGACGGCCTCGAGGACGACTTCGAGGACGACTTCGAGGACGACTTCGAGGACGGCTTCTAGGATGACCTCAAGGATGATGCCTAGATATGATCACAAGGGATCAAGACCTCACTATCTAATAATGCCAAAGAAGGCTGACTCACGCTGGTTGCCCCCTCCTTTTGTTTTTATTCATTCATACTTGCCACGACCAATAGGGAATTTTTTGTCAACATGTGAGGAAGCATTTTTTCCCAGACCCTAGCATATAACAGCTCTGCTGTGAAACTTGCAGAGCTACCAGAGAGTCGCATTGTCATCGACATAATTGATGACAGCACTTGTGGAATGCGGGCTTTCTCATCGTCCAAATTCAGCAGCAGTTTTTATCCCTGGGTATGTCAGTTCCCACAATATTTGCTGCTAAGGTTGGTAGTGTCAAAATTGGGGGGGGGGAGCAATGCCCAGTCAGTAGCATGGCAACTGAAACAGTCATTGGTTCTGGCTCGGCTTCTCAACCAAAATTCCTACAAACAACCGCCAGGATTGCAACCATCAGTCAAATTACACGTCAACTCCGGCAACATACATCATTGGATTTTCAAGAACTCCCTGAAGCACGGAAAGCTGGATTGTTAAACGCACCAGTGGAAGAAGCGTTCCAGGCCCCTTGGTGTGTTCAATTCAACTGTGGCCAGTGAACCTAAACCTGCAGAGTCCTTCCCCAAGATCTACCGTAAAATACCGAGTATGGGCACATATCACAATATCCTTCAAATGTTTAAAAACTACCAGCGCATATCAAGTGCCCACCCAGACTTCTGAGCCCACCAACAGAGGTACACCTCCTCATCAGGCACTTCTTTAAACACCCTGATGCAAAGCGGTAAAGCTCAATTTATATTTTGACCACTCCGAATTTTTTCTTTTGGACCTAACAAGTGCCCATGCCCCAGTGTTTTAAGATTATCTCCCAATTTCGGCGGGGTGCTTCCTGGTCATTTTACGACAGCGTGGGCGTAGACCCCCTCTCCAGGCGGTGCCCACCTCCGAGCTCGCCGGGGAGGTGGCGGGGACCAGCTGCTGCCCGGCCGTCGCCTGCGAGCCGGAGTGCTGCGTTCCCTGGCCGGGCGGGTGGTGCGCGTGGGGTGCTGGGAAGGTCTCCCCGTAGTTGGGCAGGTACACCCCCCACTCGTCCACCACCGCCTTGCGCCCCTTGGGCCCGATGCGGCGCAGCTCCGCGAGCAGCAGGGCCTGCGCTGCCTCCCGAACCTGCAATTATGGAGCCGGCATCACCGCAAGTTCGAGCAGCGCACAAAAGGTCCCGAGCTCCACTGATACTCGATGGCGCACGCGCCGAGCTGGCACCAAAATTAAGGGTGTGCACGCAGCTTCCTTGTGCAAGGTTGTGCACTGTAGAACGCATTCAGTGTGAACATGAGATTGGAACTTTTTTGCATATTACTTTGACAACGTTTTGACCAGCATCAACCAGCACCCCCAAATGAGCACTTTCCACCACGCTAGTAGTTCTGACGACAGCCCCTCAATTTTAGAAGGAAGAGAAGATACACTGCCGATCGCATATTTTATAGTACTAACAGCGCCAAACAGTGTACATTGTGAAGAGCGAGATGAAGGCAAACTATACTAATGCGCACTCTTAATTTAATAGATGCAACGAAGGTCCGTTACACTGCCTATTTCTTGCTGCTTCAGATCGGATGGCTCAGCTGGCATCAGTGTGACCACTAGGAACCAGACAGTTAGCTCTATCTTTATGGTCAGCCAATGTAAGGGCTTTGGGGGATATAGGCAAAAAATGAGCAGTACGATCACGGCAAGAGCTGCGGCACATCATGGCGAAATCGTGGGGGATCGGTGTCGCGTTCACGCACTGTGGAGTCTAAATGTCAAAGTCTCTAAATGACGCCGTCATTGGTGAATCCCTGGCCTGCCCCGAGTGACGAACACGCCGAAGTTTGACGAGAGTCTCTTCAAAGCGGCAGACGCGTCTGTCTAGGCGTCACCCCATGCTAGCGTCACACTTGTAGTGATGACGACTGATGGTGTTTGAAAGAGAAAGGTGCAGGCCTTTCCTTCTAAGTGCTATTGCGTGAGGTGGCATAATACGAGGTGAAAAGGGACGTGACACGACGACGGATGGAGGGATGGACAGATACGACTGAACTCTTTTATTCCGGCTGCGGCTTGCGCCACCTAGCCGAAGCTTTTTGTTTAAATGACTACTTCCCATTGAATTTGGAATTAATTGAGAAAGACAAAGAGCTTTTTATCGCGACGTAGCAGCAACTGTCGCCATCTGGTGGGCGCCACGCAAGACTCGTACGCACTGCATTTATAAAATGCAGATAAAGCAGGTTCCCAAAGCTGTGGTGTAGCTTTAGGTAATGCGCACGCTTCCCGCGCGGCGGACCCAGGATCAAATTCTGAGAACGTGGCAGTGGCGGGCGATCTTCGTCAAGCATTTAACGACGCTGGCGACGGACGTCCTACGCCCTACTGAGATAACAACTACTACAACAACTACAACTACGAAGTCGACGGACGCCATTTCCGGCCATGGGAAGAGCTGTCACCATAAAAGCTCCCACATCTGATCTTTGCCAAGAGAATACAGGAAGAGAAGCAGTATGGGCGCCCACCGATTATTCAGATTTGAATGGGATCGTGTTAAGTTAGAATAATTCAGCAGTCCGAAAAAGTTAATTCGGTCAAAAAAATCTCTGTATTGGAACTTTGTACACTAAACGACTGGAGAAACTGGTCAATAGTTTGCTGGACGGCGTTTTACACCCCTTCGCGATCAGATCGTCTTACACTTTAACGGTCTGCGTCAGACGGCCGCACAACAGCCGGCACGGAGTGCACTGACCACGTGTGTGAACTTCTCGAATGCTGCGATGGCGTCGGTCAAGTTGTCCATGAACGAAACTATAAACAAAAATTCCAAGGATACCTAAGCACTTCTTACGAGTAGTGAATGCAAAAGCATGAATGTCGTTCTTTGCGCCACGGCCGCTTCTGGCAGAAGGCATGTGGAGGGCGGCTGCGGCAGCGGACAGTGCCCGGATGTTTAGGCGACCACAATCCCTTTGGCAACAGCATAAAACAAAATCGGCAATCAAATTGACCTCGATGGCGCAAAAAGGAGGCTATGATTCCGACTATAGCCTCAATCTAGCTTCTGCATTGCACTGACAGCATCTCCTGTCATAGAATGTGTAAACCTGTTCACGTGGTGTCAAAGCTACAGGTCAAACAGCAAATAAAAATAAAAATGGTGGCGGCTTGGTTTGCGGTTGTAACATAATGGCCTCGAAAAAGTAAGAAAAATTGAGTGATAAGGCACACATTGTCCAAATTTTTAGTCACTGTTACACATTCACTCTATGGGGCAAATGGCGGTTCCGTAAAATTTTCAGAATAATCAATAATGTCCGAAATTTCAGCGCGCGAAAAATTAGTCGGTTACTGGTATCCGCTGCTAATGAAGGATATCTTTGCATTAGCGAGTTAGAACAATTGTTTACAACTTTTGATTAGGGTAAAGTTATATTCTCAAACTATCCACCCCTCGTCCTCCACACAACTGGAAACAGATGATGAAAAGGTGAACTGCACCCCCAAGAGTCTGCTGCTGTTCTGAGATTCAACAAAAGGTTCCTTCTTGAGCCTTTCCTGCGCACTTACATAGTCTTCCATCAAAGTTTCAGCTTTCTGGGATGCCTACTGTCCAGCATGATTACACATTGCAAGCATTCCTTACACACATGTCGATGGAGACCTCCTAATATCATGGAGTCGCATTTTGTACTTCACCCGACGGAGGACAGTCAATGCGTCGGCATTCGGTCGGAACTCTCGTTAAACTGGCGAGGACACGAATCCTGGCCGAATGCTGACTCAGCGCTCATGTCCGATCCGTGACCTGCGCTGACCCTTGCCGGGCGATGTAGAAAAGAAGAAGCGAAATGGGAAGCCCGGATATGACCACTCGGATAACCCGCCCTTCTCCGTGCCAAAGAGGTTCGATGCCTGGGACAAACCGCACGAAAGAAGCAAAGGTCACAAAAGCTCTCGTTTGCTTCCTGAACAAAACCATACTTGGATTTTTGCTCAGAGAGGACGAAGGATGGTGTCCGTGGACAGGGCCACCTTCGTAGCATTCAAATCTCGTAACCCTTACAGCCTTTATCGTTTGCTTCCTCTCCTCGCTGAACCTCTCTTCCGATCTCTCCGTTCCTCGTCCCCAGCATGGAGAAGTCAACCGTAAGTGTTACCCAACTAGGTTAACCGAATTCTGTCCTCCCGCTTCGTCGTTCCCTCTGGCACCATGGCTTTGTCATCTCGCTTTGTCGATGGCAGAGAGGTCCTCCAGTCGTCCTGCCTCTGGCACGAGCTTCCCACCTACCATAAAGCTCCAGCATCTCGCGACCTTCACGCCTGCACGCACAATCAATGCACGACGACGTCTGACCTCCGACACGTGCTGGAGGCCAAACGTTCGAGAGAGACATCCTGTCGACTATAGGAGATATTGGGTTAGCGGTCCGTGCAGAGACGGAAGGAGGGCGAGATGGCCCACCTCGAGACAGCGGTCCTGCCAGCGGCGTGCCAGCATCTCGACCTGAGGCCGCTTGAAGTCCTGAGTGCGCACGAGGTCCGGCAGCAGGACGCAGTGCAGCGCAGCCAGCAAGCTCCAGCCCTGCTTGACATGAGCCTGCTGCTGCGTCAGCACCTCCTGGATCACCGCCAGCGCCCCGCTGCTGTCCACCGCCGCGCTCCCAGGGGGCACCTCCGCCGCCGTCATCACGAAGGCTCGGCTGTCCGCGCGGCTCAGGCGCCTGCGATGCGAGGCCGCCCGCTTGTGTCACTTTGTCTCTCCGGGACGCCAGGGTCTACGTGCCCACCGTAATATACGCTGAGCAGGCTCCCATCCCCTAAAATTATAACCTATCTCGATATTGAAAGCTGTGCCTCATCTTCAGTCTACAATCTTAGCTCTTTTTTTTATTATGTGCATATTTAAGATTTTGTACAGTTTATGAGGTTACTTTCTTACATTATTTTTATTTCCTTCGTATTATGGACTTCCGATACTCGCACACTCCTACCTTCTTTTTTGGAACAATAAGACGTAACTTGAAGTGTCCATGACACCCCGTACCGCACCAGTTTCTCGGTAACTTTTGATTTCACCGGTTCAAGCTTTATTTAATTCAAACTCCGTTGTAACTCCCGTGAGGTGAGAATGACCGAGCTCCGGCTCCAGCACCAAGTGCGAACATCGGCGAGCAGAGCCGCGAGCGGCGAAACCGGCACAACGCCTGCGCAGGCAGAGAGGAGCCGCTTTCCCACCTGTGCAGCTTGCGCCGCTTTTCCTGCTCTGGCACGAAGGTGGCGCTGTTCATGGACATGAGGGTGTTTGCCAGGGCGATGACCGACAGCAGGTGGTTGGTGGTTACGGCCGTTGACAGCTCCCAGTGGCCCCGGGACGAGAAGCGGCGTGCCCGCTCTTCCTCCTCTATCTGCTCCTTCGGCACCGGGATGGTCACCTTGCGAGCCTCGGGCTTGCTGCAGAGCGTCCCCAGAGGGACCGGACAAAATGGCTCAAGTCGGCAAAGCCAACGTCCCGAAGCATACGGTATGCGCACGGTTGACAGGGACATCTGGAGGCTGGTTCACACACTGGCATTTGAGTGTGCTCCAGTGCATTGCATTCCCTTGTAACTGCTCACGATAAGATGACGAAACAACATACACTGGCAAAATCTATCAGGTAGACCTGGAACGTTGGTGACCTGCATATGTGGGGTGGCACAAGCAGACCTTCTGCCGCAAAATCGAGCCGGAAAAATCGGTGCCTGCACGTGGAAAGCTATAACTTATCCCGAATGTGTGCTGTGGAGGTCGGTTTTACCGTGTTGCAATATCAAGGTGCAGTTCCCTTCCTGTAAAAAATGGGAGCAAAAGATCTGCCGAAGTCAAGGTTGGGCACGTTCACAGATGACCGAGTTAGCGACACTATTTACTTGCGGCACCACCTCCTGAAAGGAGCAGCAAGCAGACAACAGATTAAAAAATACGAAAGAGTTAGACTGTCCTGTCTGTCCTCTTTGTTTACCTCTTTCATATTTTTGAATCTATTACCAACGCGCTCAATCCAAGTTTAGACAACAGAGTGCGTCATCTGCTCACCTCACTGTGCTTGTCGGGAGATTGCACCGCAAGTAAATGGCGTCGCTGACTTGGTCGTCTGCAAACGTGCCCAACCTTGACTTTGGCAGCTTTTTTGCTCGTTTTTTACACCGAGACTGAAAGAAAATGTTCGCTTTTATCCCTGAAATTATGCGGCGCCCAAAAAAGCTTGTTGGTCAGTGGCACTGTGTGGAAGCATACTTAGGTTTCACCAGTGCCAGTAAGGTTGCGTAAAGTGAGAAACATTCTTACTTAATATCGTTGCACAGCCCTTTTACGGACTTGGAGACGCCCGAGGGGCATGCCCGAATTTCCTTACCAAAACACGACCGCTTGAAGAGTGAAATGTAGTGAAACCTCAATCACTTCTACTCTAACACAATTAAATCCAGAAGCCCAAAAGAACTGGACATGGTCTAGAAACATATTTTCACAGCACAACAGACACACCAGTCAGAGACGCGTTCCAGGCACCATATCGAAATGGAACCTCTGTGCCACGAAGGCGGTTATTCCCACCTGGGTGCTGCTGCCTGTGGGTCCTCGGAGGGTATGATGCGGTAGGTGTGGGTGGGCAGGAGCAGGCTCATGTGTCCTCCCCGGGAGAGCAGCCCGAAGCAGATGGGGCGCATGGGGCACAGGAGGCCAAGCTTGCCCTCACACACCTAAGAGGGGGGTGCAGAGCAGCAGAGAAAGGAAATCTGATGTGGCTGAATTGCCGGCAAAGAATGCACGCAACAGATGCTGCTGCTCTGTACGCAAGCGGCTCTGTCGTCTTTCAAGAAACAACCCTTACAGCCTTATAAATGCTAAATTATTCAGTTAACGAAGAATGCTAGGAACAGTGGCAAAAGTATGATCGCGAAGCAGGTCGACACCATCTATGAATGAGCTATTACCAACACCAAACATTGTCTGCACATTAAATTATGCGTGGCTAAATTGTCTCGTGTTATTGTTGTTGACATCTGATATACCTTCCACCATCTCTACATCTAGTACATTTTTGGAAAGGAACCGAGACACTACAGAACAGGCTGGGACATTTTTGCGACATAAATCCCGCATGTTTATATATTAAATTTTCTGAAATCGCTTTTAATGGAGTTAATAAACTTGAATATGTAAAATTCTTCATAAAAGTGTTTTTTTTTTATATTTGTTAAATTGCAATTTCAAGGTTAAATTCCCCTTGCTCCACCACTCCTGAAGGCCCATTTATAGTTCGATTTAACCAGGCGGTGGTCGATGTCAGAGACGCTACATTGGCTACAACACACACCAGTTGGCAATTCGACTCCTGCACAGTCAAACTTGGTTGGTACTGTGTACCGCCGTGCGCCGTCCGAGAAGTACGCGCAAAATGTTCTCCGACAAGCGTGCCAACTGTTGCCACCTTGACGAAGCTGTGCCTGCACTGCCTCGAGAGTCCTGGCTGCTGGTCCGGAGAGCTTGCAATGCATCCTGGTCTGGCTACCCGACGCAGCCCGCGTAAAAGTATGACACATTCCATCTCCTTGTCAGTGCAGTCGGAGCGTGTAAAATCCCGCCGACCACGTCAGTTATGTTGAAACAGCGGACTGTAGAAAGTTTGGTTTTCGCCAACACGATGTTGCTGTGCTGCGCGTGCACGCTATGCAGAGCATAATTGAGCATTAAGCAAAAATTTCCATGGGTGCATTCTCCAACTGCGTAGAAGGCTGTCCGATAACCTTGGTGAAAGGAAAAAACATAGTATATTGGATGAAGGGTGAGCCATTTATACGAGCATTTCCTGGGCCTCCCTCTCTCTATGTAGGACAACAAATGGCAGGACCCTGTGCTACAATATATACTAGTGGTGGCTCCCACACGATTCTAGAGACCTAGTATAGATATATATGCAATACAAACAAACTATAAACTAAATACATAAATGTTTCGATTAAAAAATAATCTCCCATGAATAAAAAAAAAAAAAAGGAACACCAGTAAGGTTCTAGAGATGGATTACCTAAAGGTGAGAAGCAACGAGCCTCCGCACATCGCCTCTGAGGTGATGAGGCCGTAGTGCCGGATTTCCCGCGTCTCTTACTGTAGGCCAGCAAGGGTCACAGATCAATCGTGAGCGCTGCGTCGGCATTCGGGTGGGATTCGTATACTCGGCGACCGGACGCGAGTCCCGGCGAAAGCTGACGCAGCACCTGCATCCAACCCGTGCTCATCCCATTAGGCGAAGCTGAAAATTCGGCAATCCGGCCTCGTTGCTCATAGTTGGTCGTGGGCCAAGAAACCAGTAGAAGCTCCGCCTCCGTCGTGCGCTTGTCGCCTTCCGCCGAGCTTTGGCTGCGCGTGCGCCTAAGCGCCATCGAAGGCAGAAGGCTCGTGCTCGAGGTGAAGCGCCTCCCGGTTCCTTAACTCGTCGCAGACTATGGAGCGTCTTGCCGCGCGCTTGCCGGTATGGTAACGTTCCCGACTGGTGCAATTACCGCGTCCTAAAAACCGGTCTTTCCATTTTTGCCCAACGACGTCGCGGAAGTGTCGCGTCGTCGCTGGCCACAATCCTGGTGGTGTCACGGCAGCGGTGGATGTGGCAAATGCGCATGCCGGTGTAGGTCGCCATCCGGCTCGACGGTATGTGGAAACTCGAGCGGCCGAGAGTTGGAACCATGCAACCACGGTGACGCTCGCTTTTTTTTTTTTCCCGGACATTTAGCGACGATCGCCAGGATTGCGACGTTCAACGACGTGATGCAATGTCTCCCGGGTTCACTTTCAAAGTACAGCGAGACGGGACGCCAAACACGCCGGTCAAAGACGCGTTCCGGACGACGTGCTGCCAGGGCGAAAAAGAGGAAAACGTTGGCCCTCTGACCTTGTCCAGGTCATGGTCCAGCCCCCAGGCGTGGAGCAGGGAGAGCAGCAGCTGGGCAATCTCCATGGTCAGGTTCGTCTCCGCCAGGCTCAGGTGCTTCAGCTTGGAGCCTGCCGCCAGCGCCGCCGCACTCCTTGCCTCGCCTGGCTGGGAGGGGGACGAAAGGTTGTTGCGAGCTTTGCCGGCACGGGACGGCGGGTTGCGACTCCAGTTCGGACTAAGACCGTGCGCTGTGAACAACTAGGAGTATGCTTCCTTCTGTAAAACCCTAATTGACCGGTAATTTGCGTTCCACTAAAAACTGAGCATAATGCAAAGAATTAAGGAAACAAGGATCACTTAGTACTGTTGACTTATATCTCGCATTGGGCTAATTTCCACATGCAGTCATGTCTCATTTATATGGCCCCCTTAAGATGGATACACCGGTATATGGACATCATTTTTGGGGGTAAACTGGAAAAATATGTGCATGTTTGTCTCATTATTGCGGGCAACCCGCATTATGGACAGTTTTTCGGGGGAATGGGGGCACGACTTCATTTAGCAATTTGAAAACGATTGTAAAAACTTTACCGAGCAAATTTTGTAATGATTACTACTAGCCCAAACACCACATCTATGTTTTCTCGCATGTAATTCGTGCAGGTGGGCACGTAATTCGTGCAGTTTTTGTCACCTAAGTTGGTGTCTTGCATGTACTCCTTTCTAGTCTATTGGTAGATGGTAGTTCTGATGGCAGATTTTTAACCACGTGAGGAAAATAGGCATGTCAGTGATTGCACATTTGAACTAACTGCGAGGTATTTCCTACAATATCAAGCCTACCATAAAACTGATAGTTTGGTTTCCACTCGAGGCAGAGAGATATACTACATGAGGTAATCCAGAAAGCAAGGTTCCTTGTATGGCTTCCTCATGGGTAGCTAGAACAATCTACGGGAAATGTCTCCCATATGTTTCCATGTTTTCTTCATATACCCAAACTCGATGAAACATTGATAACAACGGCTGGGCCATGCAGCCTATCCTAGTTTTGTCAAAAAAATTGGAATGTGTGATGCTGTTGAAATATACTCCTGAAGCTTGCACTTCATAGTGAAGCTACAATGGCCAGCACAGTATCGTAGCAGTAGTACTTCCTGCTGTTACTTCATGACCCCATCCTGTACTGATGGGTCACACTACAGTACTGGATGCTTTTTTATCAAGTGGTAAAAATATGTACATGCCAATTACTATCCGATTTTTTCCGAAAGTCTTAAACCTGCAGCACAACCCCCAAAGTGAAGCTAGTGGGTCAGCAGCATCTATAAACATTACCCAAAGCATGCAATGGCACCCTACACACCCAGCATACATAGAAAGGAGGTGAACGCAGAGAAAGGAAGCAGGGTCACGAGGCACATGCAAAGAAAAAAAGAGGTGCAAAACAAAATATCCTACCCTTTTGGACAAAGGTCTGTGAACTAAGGCCTAGAAACAAAATTGAGAAAAGCAAAAAGCGTGCATATTAAACACGAGACAACAACAACACAATTGCTGGACATAAAGGCACACACACAAACACACATGCACACACGCAAGCGCACACAGACACACACACACACGCACAAAGGAAATGCTAAATTTTTTAAAAGACTCCCATCATCCAGAGCACACTACAAGAAAATGTGTTATATAGCACTAGTACTATTTTTAGGTAATGAAATATGAAAGAAAATGACAAAAAGCATGAAAACAAATCTTCACTTTAAGACACGCCAGAGGAATGAGCTCGGACAAATCTGATAATTGAGAGTGACTGTACGGCCACATTTATATTCCCTTTAATAGAACATTTGCGATATCCCCCAAGTGCCCCGGCCCACACTAAAAGAATCATGGGAACGGTGCTCCTTCAGCCCCTTAGTGATCGGTAATTTCAACTCTATTCTTAGTTACACAGGTTTTGAGCGCAATTCAGAGTCACCCTGAACAAGCGGCTGATATACCCCAATGACCCATCATATCGCTTTTAAAAATTCTCGTCAATGACAGTGTTTTTGATACTGTGCATGCTGTCCACCCTTCAACCTGGATGGGCTGCAGAAATCTCTTACATTATTATCATGCTGACATTAAATTAGAAACGCCGAAAATGCTATAAACAGCCCCACGGACTCCGAAATCCTGGTTTTTGTTGTTGAGAATTATCGGCTTTTTAAGCAATTCCTGCTCAAACAACAATCACGAGAATGATAATATTGTAAGAGATTTCTGCAGCTCAGCCAGGTTGAAAGGTGGACCGCATGCGCAGTATCAGAAAGGGTGACGTTGAGGAGCAAATTTAAAAAGTAATAGGACAGGTCCTTGGGGTATATCAGGTGCTTGTTCAGGGTGACCTCGAATTACGCTCAAAAATTGTGTAACCATGGAATTGGTCGAAAATTAGCGATCACTACGGAGCTGAAAGAACGCAGTTCCCATGATTCCTTGAGTGCGGACCGGGGCGCTTGGGAATACTGCAAATGCTCTATTAAAATATTGCGATGCCATGAACTGTCTTGTTATATTGATCATGTGGCTAGTCAAAAAGTCACCAATCCAAAATGGCCACAAGTGTTGCTGCTCTGAGAACACTGTGACCCTGGGTTGGACAATGCAGAAGAGTGAGACCTGAGTAAGACTAGGAGAAGGTAGCAAAGAGAGAAGGAAGGCAACAAAAAGTTTGGAGGCAAAAGGTGAACATAAGATACCACTGTGCAAACGCAGCATATGGGTGGAAAAGTTGTGATAAGCAACAAAACACAACATGCACTTGATCACTACTTTCATGAAGGTGAACATACTCTAACTTGAAGTGACATACAATATTCACACAACTGTAGGTCATACCCAATTTTTCAAAATGAAAAACCCTAAACAGTACGGAGTCAACACATAATTGGAGCCAAACACGATAATGCAAGCAAAGCCGAAACGATTGAAATACTCTGGTTTGCTTGCAGTTCCCAATTGCTCTACTGCTTTATTATTTTATTGTGCCATTAATTCCATGCTTGTTTCTCCACTTTTTCTTTGTTCAATATTGACTTTGTATGTGCACGCAGTGCAATCAAACACAACAAGGCGCAGTGGCAAGTGCAGCAGTTCCATGCTGCAGTTTGTGTCGAGACAACTGACACAATGGCCAGTGCAAAGAACACATTGCACGATTATGCCATTGTTGGCTCATTCCCTCCACCTTTGTTAAAAGCTGGAGATGCTTCGAGCAATTTTTGATGCTTTCGATGCATGTTTATGGCATCCAAGAGTTATCCTAGGTGCCGAGAAAAACAGGCATGCTGCAGAATGCCAGTGTGATGTGTCCCAGCGAGAGGTGTACCTATGGTGACCGCCACAACAGCAAAGACTTTTCAGTTGCGACAATTAGACATGATGGGTGCAGGTATGGTGAACACCACAACACCAAACTTTTCAATTGCGACAAGACAGGATGAACTCTATGTGGGCAGTACTCAGTACACTTCCCGGATTGAAGTTGCATTCACACTGACTGCGTTTGCAAAGTTGATGATGCAAATAAGCAGATCTACTTTTGAAATATGTGACCAAAAGTAGGTCACCTATTCACATCTTCCAAGCACGCGAAAAAAAAATCCTCTTAACTCTTTGAACCCTAACACATTTCACATTTAACCCTTAAACATTTGAAAGTTCCCAAGCAGCACGGATTTTGGCCAAGCAATGGCCAAAGACCGGGGATGGTCTTGTGGCCAGTGACCAAAGAGTGGCCATTCAATGGCCAATGCTTGGCCGATGGCTGATGGCCAGTGGCCATTGGCCAATGGCCAGAGAAAGGCCAGTCATCGGCCAATGGCTGGCCAAACCCTGGCCACTGGCCACATGACCATATCCAGCCATTGGCCAACGCTTGGCCAACTCTGTGCTGCTTGGGTTCCTGCTTAAACGTGAAACCATGCACAATCCGAGAGGTGTAGCCATCTCTTATGTATTTGGCTTTCTCTAAACACTGTATTCGCTCACATTTAGCCACGCTGGGGCTATCTATGGTTTTGAAATTAGACGCTCCGGACATGTGACACATGTGAGATGGTCATGTGCGTGTAGGCTGCTTTACTAATAGAAAGGATCAGAGCACCGGCACTTCCGATTCAGACTTTTTACGCTTCTCGGAATTGTAGACAGAGGATGAGAGCTCACCGTCCAATGAAAAGGTGCTGTAAAGTACCTCCGACTTAGAGTCGGATCGCCAGAATGTTGCGGAGGTGGATGCCCCAAAATGAAACCGAATGGAAGAAAGGCAACTTTTCGCCCTCAGTCTTTTAGAGCACAGCTCTTAGGCGGCCGTTTCCGGCTTGAGCGGCGTCACCGTCGCCGTCAGCGTAACCGCGCGGTGCATTATGGGACGCGTGACGTCACTGATGACATCATCAGTGACGTCATCAGCATCGCCATCTTCACTGATAACGTCATCGGCATCCGCATCGTCGCTGATAACGACATCAGTGATGTCACTGATGACGTCATCTGCATCGTAATCGTCACTGATGATGTCATTGTCATCGTCACGTGACCTCATAAGAGTCATGTGACCCCGTGAGGTCACGTGACCTCGGTGCCGTCACATAACCCCCGTCAGGTCACGTGACCCTCGTGAGACGACGGCGACACCGCTCGAAGGAAGGACTAGCAGACAGGATGAGGAAGGAGGGATATACCTTCCCCTCAGTACCCTTCTCCACCTCCTCCTCAAGAGCTGCGCTCTAATCCGGCGTTACAGGGCTAAACGGCTTTTTTTTTTTTTTTTGAGGTTTCTCAACCTGGAGAGCTTGCAAGTGATGTATGTGCACTTGCTGGACAATTAAGGAAACATGTTCATTGACTCTTCATGTGTACTATACTTATGAAACAAAGTCCACCCACTGGGGCCCATCTCTTGGAAAGAAAAACCGAACTGCGAAAGGGTTAATCTTTGACCATCTTTGAGGTTGTGATGCAATCATTTGTGAGGTATGTGATTTCTTAATGACAACGGGCCGTGGGACTACGACACCAGGGATAATTTGTCATGCAACATCTATAACTCAAAATTTTTTTTTTTTTTTTTTGCTGGAAGGCATGTGGGAAATTGATTGACAATCAAGTCGACCTGCAATTGTGTGAATAGGGTGTGCTCCACGAGAGCTCCTGGGGTATGCAAAGCCACATACTTTGCTGGCACCCGATACGTCCGTCTGAGATGTCTTGATGCCAACACTTTCGGCCTTGGCTTGAATTCTGGAGGCTGCCGTCTCGGCTGTGTCTTTGACCTTGGCAATGAAGCCTGCAAATGACGTGGAAATACAGACTTGGCACTTGCTACCTTTTTTGAGGTCTTGACACTGGCAAGCAAGACATTCAATGAAGCATGCGAACTATCTGGACACGTAGGTACTATTACTTGAAATTTTTGGATAAGAACAACTGTGTACTCAATTTGATCTTGCAAATTAATAACACTAGTTCTAAAAATATTTTGGAGTATCTTTGAAGTTTGTTAGAAAAGACAATTTACCTCTCCTCATAGTGCTTCTCCCCCTACTAACACAGGTGCGTCGAGACAAAGCGACGTCTGTGGCATCGGTGCCGAGGGCACCACTTCTCAGTGCGGTTGAGAGCAAAAGGGACAAGCATTCCTTCTAGGAGAATTTGAAAGCTGGCTCGCAATATGTTTTGATACTTTCAGCAATTTAGCCAGTGCAGTGTAACTGCTCAAACCTAGGGTTAGTGGTCATATTCCGCTAATGTTAAAAGACACCAGGCTCAATTGCTGCTCCTGCCCTTTTGAAGTAGATGAGTGCCGCACCCGAGATCTTCTTGTGTGTCTCTGGCGAGGAGGACAAGGTGAGGTACTTCTGGTACTCCGACTGGTTGATCAGACCCTGGGACTCCAGGGTGCCGGGGGACATGGTAGAGTATTCTTCTGACAGCAGTTGCACTGGAAGCACGAGCAGCCACAGTGTTGCATGACCGTGCTCCACAGGTGTAGCTTATGGCACACTCCAAGTGTATAAACGCTTTGCACACGCGCTAAATTACAGCCGCCATTGCTGACCTTCTCTTGTCTTACCGAGATGCTGAGCAACTGAAACGGTAGTTGACGATCCTCTACAAAGGCCGATGCTTTAGAGAAGGACACAGTTGAATCTAATGCGGCAATAACCTGGCCTGCTGTGGTAAAGATGAAGTGAAATAAACGAAATAAGAGGGAACAAAAGCTGAAGGTCAGTTATGGCGGCGTCCATGCACAGCTGCTGCAAAGCATCTATACAACCCCAATATAGAATGTTAGAGTAGTTGATTCTGTTTAATCAGAGTATTAACTTTTCTTGAGAGCTGCAAAACAAAAGGACCTCATTAGTACATCACTCTCGAAATTTTAGACTGGAGAATGATGTAGCTGCAAAGAAGAAATGGAAAAAATGAACACGCTTCTCCCTGCAGTATGACATCATAAAATCCCATGCAGGCTCTGGAAGGGTTATTTACTTCCATGTTGCACGCTTATTGCACATCGACAAAACATAACAACAATTGTTCTATTATATTTCAACAGCCTGTTCTCCAGTCATGCCATTCAAACAAGGTGCATCCCGCATATCTGTTCCGCAGTCTTGTTGCACTTTTCCACAGTGCACAAACAATAGAGGAGAAGCATTCCTCCAGAAGAATAAACATGTGCGTGCCCGCCAGCTATTGTAACAGGTAGGAATACGGCTTCATTACCGTTACTTTCTGCTGAAAACTTACCAAAACAATAGAACAGCAGCAATCACACGAGCCTATTTACTGTATGCTCTGTGACCATTACATCCGACGTGCAAAACAAAAAGGATATTGTTTTTAAGTACCAAATATAACGAATTTCGGATGTAGAAAAAGATATTTTCTATCTTCGTCAACTTCGTTATAACTGAGTTCAACTGTAGTCGCGAAGGAAATGGTATCGTGGAAGTCACCAAAAGGCTGACTTTTTTTTGCCACCAGAGAAAATTTTATGCTTGTTGCGTACGCCCCAAGAAGGCCGCTCAAATTCCAAACTAGGCCATAATTTTACCTTTATTTATATGGAGAATGAAGGGGTTTCGACACCAGAGGTCCCTGTGTTGGGACAAATATTGCAGTGTGCAGGGCCGAGCAAGCAGCATTATCCAAAAATTCGGCCGAGAAGGTTCGACCATCGAGTGTTCGGGGGGAGCAGGAACAGGCATTTTCGAGAACAAGATACTGGGGCGAAATTATAAAAGTTATGCCCCAAGCAAGAATAAATGTGAATCTTCTAGAATATCGTGACTGGGTGCTGCTTGCTCAATCCTGTGTGCAACAATATCCAATTTTTTTTCTTTTTTGTACTTGGCATTTTTATTGATCTTACAAAGGCCTTCGACGTGTTACAACACAAGATGTTGCTTAGAAAGCTCGAAAACTACGGTATACGGGGACACACCCTCTCTTTAGTTAATTCCTATTCACAGCATCGACAGCAGTTCATCCAAATGAATACTCTTCTAAGGTGAAACCCATTCTTCCAGGGGTCCCACAAGGGAGAATACCTGGTCCACTTATTTTTAATATATGTACTTATTTTATACTTTTAAATACTAAAAATATAATACCATATTTACTCGCATAATGAAAACTTTTTTTTTCTCGAAAAATTGGCACATATTTGGGGGAGGGGGAGCGGGTTCATTACGCGGAGTAAAATTTTAGCAGTTACACACTTTGTGCAAATGTCATATTACCGTAAGTGCCAATATGACACGGCAAGGTACTGTGGCATGTCTCCACTGATGGATGCACCCACGGTTGGTTGGGGGCGCGCCACAGTAACCATGCTTAATAAATTGCACAACTTTTTAGGGTGCCTTCGGCGCGCCTTTTGCCAAAGGAAAAGAGCACTACAAAGCTCACTCAGCACGGAGAGCGACGTGACCATTCTCAGGCGTAACCACTTTCATGATTTCATTTTCCGAAGGCGGATCACAGACGACGGCATGTTTGTTGACATCAATGTATCCGACAGGCGAAGAATGTCCGGGGCTGAGCAATTCCTGGACCCAAGCTTCGTCAAGTGTGCGGGCTGCTCAGTTTGTGGGAGCCGCCCGCTCCACTTCCCTGATTAGGCCCTATGGCCGCGGGAACAGCGCTCCGAGCTGTCCAACCGTCAGCCGGAGCGCCCCGTCTCGTGCCTCGGAGGAGCAGCCGTCTTGGCTGTTTACCCTCGCATCGCATGCCTCCATCCCCCGTGCCCCCCCACCTTGCGGGGACACGCGAAACGTTCCCCTGGCGGTTGGACCTTCTTGGGTCCGAGGCTGAGGCCGCCAGCGGAGAGGGAGAAAGAGAGAGGGGGGGGGGGGGGGCCTTGTACCCCGGCTCGAGGGGACTGCTCGCGGGGACATCGAACTGTTCGGACGTGTGGCCCGACCCTCCCTGACGGCCCACCTCCGAGCCCGCTCTCGGGAAGGCACGACAAGGTAGGGTCTGTTCCTTCCTTGTCGCCCTTAGCGTGTTTCTTATCTTTATATGTTTAACACGTAAAATAAACACCCGATTATCCCTTGCCTTCGGCGTGTCCGTGTGCTCCCTTTTGAGAGTCCCGGCTAACGGTTGCAGCCGACAGTCGAACCCGCCGCAGCGCTTAGCATGATACGCTGCGGGGTGGTAGGTTGAGCGGTCGGCCTCCCTGCCGGAAGGCGCTACCCCTTTGAGACCTCCACATTTTGGCGCCCAACGTGGGGCACTGGGGCAGCGCTGCGACCACCGAGTGATCCGCTCACGTCACCGGCGGCGTATCCCTCAGGTGGGGGAACTGTGCCGGGCATCGGCTCCGCCTGAATGGGTTCTCTAGAGGGAGATGTTGTCAGGGGGCCTTCGGCTGATGCGGGAACTCCTGAATAGAGTCCGCTAGCCAAGGTCGGCGAAAGCCGCTGGCCTCCGAGGGGAACAGTGGCCTGGCTGATGTGGCAGTTTTATGGTTGATCCCTTCCGCAACTACGCACTTGCAACCACTATGAGAGCGGCTTGGTTTGGCTTGACTTGGCCCGACCGCTTGGCGGCAAAAGAAAATTGGCTTGGTGAGTTAGATGCAATTCAAGACTCACGGAGCCGAAAATTGGAGGTTAAAATTGAATTACGGGAAGAAAAAAAAAAGTCCAAATATTGGTATCCGTTGTGGGGGGTGCTTTCATTATCCGAGTGCGTTCACTATGCGAGTAAATACGGTATATTTATAGTATTTAAATACCACACGCAGGGTTAAACAAGCAGTGCCTAATCACGGTATTCTAGAAGATTTGGGTTTATTCTTACTCGGGGTGTAACTTTTATCATTTTGCCCCAGTTTCTTGTTCTCAAAAGTGCCTGTTCATTCTCCCCCAGAACGCTCAATGCTCGAACCTTCTTGGCTGAATATTCATGATGCTGATGCGCACTAAATAAGAAGCTGCCTGCAACCTGGTCGAGTCAGTCTCAGTTTCGCTTACTGTTATGCCGGCAAACTGCCGCCTGCTTTTGTGCTGTCTCGATGCTTGTTCTTTATTTTGTTTGGCACAAGTTCGCCGATTAAACCTTTATTTTATATTCACTGTTCATCCTCTCGTCGCCTTCATTCGTGACATCTCTGCTGGAGGTGCGGGGTCCCGCAGCCCATGAGGTGTACCCCTCCAAGGCATTGCAGCGCAAGCCCTGCACCCGGTTCAAGGAGACCGTCCGTGGAAACGACCAAGACCCGAGGAAGCTGCCGTGTTCAAGGTTTGCCCCTGGAATTTAGTCTACTGCCGGAGAAAACAAACCACCAGTTGACGAAGCCGGCGATGAGCAACCAATCGTCGCAGACTGCCGCCGCTGCCTCCCCCGTAGTTTACCTGAGCGTCGCCCGTCGTACACCCACGCCCTTTCACAGCGACGTCTACAAGGACATCGAGGACTGGGTCAACCAGTACGAGTGAGTGGCCTGGCACAATGGGTGGACGTCTGAGCAATGCCAGCAGAGCGTCTACCTTACCCTTGAGAGCACGGCGCGGCACTGGTTCGACAATCATGAAACTTTGATTTAGTCATGGTACGCCCTAAAAGGAGAGCTCCGACGGATGTTTGCCAGTCACCACCAAAGGGAGAGAGCCGAGGACCTCCTTCAGATGAGGATGCAAGGCCCCAACGAAAGTGGCACCAGCTTTGTTGAAGACGTCCTGCGTCTGAGCACACATGCCGACCCACAAGCCACAGACGACAAAAAGCTGCGCGTCCTCATGTGCGGGGTGAGAGACGACATATTGGAGGCCTCGTCCGCAACCCACTGGCAACAGTCTAAGCGTTTCTCACGGAGGCAATAAACACAGAACGCGTTCTCCAAGCACATGCCTACTACTATTAACGACATCCAGGCGTCATTGCCTCCACGCTGCTTAGCAACGACATCAGCGCCAGTACTCAGGAAATCTTGGAGGTTATCTGCGACGTCGTTGGGCAGGAGCTACGGAAGTTGTTGCCTGCTGTTAACCCTCTAGCCTTTGCTGTCCATCGCCGAAGTCGTACGGAAGAGTTTAAGAGAGCCATCGAATAACGGGCCCTTGTCAACCCTGCGCCGGTTAAGCAACCGACTCTGAGCTATGCCGCCATGGCCCAACGACTGACACCATAGAGAAAATCGTAAGGGTGCAGGCGAGCTGGTGAATATTAACCATGTTGAATTAACCTGAGACTGGGGTAGAGAAGAAACATCAAAACGTAGAAGGGACAGAAAATAGACAGGACGACCGACGCCAGTTAGCCCGCCTTCGGAAAAGGACCAACAATGTGTCAACACTGGCAGGTACAAACTTCATCGCCGCGACGTAGGTAGGGTTCCAGCTTAGAGACAGGGTGTGGGTGTGGAAATCCATTCGCCGCTGCGGCCTCAGCGAGGAACTGTTAAAATGCTACTTTGGACCCTACAAG